CAATTCATCACCAAATTTGAATCTGAGACGTAGAATTTCTTCACCACATTGAGATCTGTCGATTATACGTCTCAATTTGCTGCAATTTTGAGTAATGAATATGAAATAGAAGTCAGAAAATTTTGTGAAAAGTTGGTAGTTTATAGATGACGTGCACCATAGTAGTACTAACTATTAGTTACGTAGTATCTGTGAATCTAGTACAAGTCCCTTTGTTGTTGTGGATTCGAATCGAATGATGTCGCCGCGAAATCGAAAAATCACGAATCGACGCTAACGATTGGCTAATCCAATTCAGAGTGGATATATTTGATTGGCTCTTACAGAAAGGGCAAGTATATTCAACCAATCAGAATTCCACCGTCATTCCATACCGATTACTGGTACTAGACAAACCATCGCGAATTTTGCAAGTTTGTATCAAATCGACGTGCTTTCGAGTAAAATTTCGTGTCGCGGTGTGGTTTTTCGTTGGAATTTAAATCGATTTGATTGGCTACTTCAGAAAAATTATTAGTTAATCAAAACCCATTTCTCAATGAAATTCAACCAATCAGATCGATTGTGGATCGGTTTGGTCGGCGCGATTCGATTGCACCCCCAAATCGACAATATATTGCCTTGTTAACGGTACATATGTATGTAGTTAGGGGGGGCTGCGGCTGCGCTTGTGTTTTTTTTTCGAGCTTTTTTTCGAGCTGCTTTTTTTGCTCCGCTTGCGATCCTCCTCGGATCTCGATCGATCGTCGCGCTTCTTCTTCTTGTTTGACCGCGACGTGGACCGCGAGGTCGGCCGCGCCTCGTCGGTCGCTGGCGGTTGTTCTAGTATCGAGAATAGGTCAACACGGAAGGGTTCTACTAACTATGCAAACACATGTACCTGTGGCGTCCACAGCTTTGCGCGACTTGGTCAGCGATTCCATCTTCTTCTGCAGCTTTTGCATGTACTGTTGGAACGCTACCTCGGCGCCGTCGTCCAGCGCCCGATATGCACTCCGATGCTGTACTTCCACGCGCGCCTGGTCCCATGACGTGGTCAAATGATCCGATCGAAAGTAATACTCCATCAGCATCTCTTCGAACGCTTCTACTTTCTTGATGCGCTCACTTTCCATGCTACAATCAACCACATTTTCTCACAATGACCAACTAGAGCCTGGGTGGTTGGATATCATTTGAAAAATATTGGAGCAAATCCGGCAAATCGGATCACGACGTGGCAAAAAAAGGCAAAAAAGACGCCAATTTCGGTCACCACACTGTCAAAACACCAAATTTCTAGATCAAAGTCGGGGGGGGGAAGTGTACCGTTGGTAGCGCTCCAGTTCACGGGCGTGTGCGCCCTGGAACCACTCGACCACCGATGGCGGCACCGTGGCTTCATCCAGAAGGGACGCAAAGAAGGATTGCCGCGGCGTCGGCACCGCGCCCGGCTCGTCCTCGAGTCCGAGCTTGGCCACTGTGTCGTGAATATGCTGTAAAAACAACGACAAGGTTGAATTGTACTTGACCACAAACTCGGCGCGGGCCACCACGTGCTTTAACCACGACCTACATACATTCCGCGCGTTCAACTCGGAATGTTGGTGTATGATATATAGTATACCGTTCGTCCCGCAATGCATCGTGCAGCCGATCCATCACACCTTCGAAAATATCCCGCGGCATTCCGCTGTGCAGCTTCTTGAGCTCGCAGTACGTCGCGTTGGCCTCGTAGCCGGCCCAGCACTCGCGCCATCTCGATGCCGTCGTCAGCCGCTTTGCCGCCACCTACCACACGTTTCCAGAACGTTATAACATTATATTCCGTTATTTGGTCCGAAATATATGCATTATATATATATATTGTGCTTTCGAGTGAAATTTCATGTTGTGGCGTGGTTTCTCGTTGGAATATTTAAATCGATTTCATTGGCTACTTCAGAAGAGCTCAAAATTATTAGCCAATCAAAACCCATTTCTCAAGGAAATTCAACCAATCAGATCGGTTTGGTCGGCGAGATTTGATTGCACCCCCTCCCCACATTTGTATATCAAATCGACAATATATTGTTGCGTTTATTCTAAACTGGAGAATGAATCGACGACACAACCAAAAAATAAAGAGTCGAATCAACAGAAATATGGTTAGCCAATCAGATTGCAGGAAACCATCATATACACGTCAAATTAGTGTATGACTTCAATTAGAGTGTGAATACATACAAACAGCTTTATTATATACAAAAGTCAGTAGTCCAACAAATCGATCGATCGTTCAATTTGGCAATTCAGCCCAAAAAGTCCAACTTTCGGGTAATAATAGACAATACCTCTTGAAGTAAAAACGCCTTGAACGCCGCGGCCAGCTCGTCTTCCCGCTTGCGCAACTGCAGCCGCTCCTCGCGCTTCTTGAGCTCTTCGTCGTGTCGGAGTTCGTCCATGTACTCGTTGAACCATTCTTGGACGTCTGCGCGATGCAACTCCAGCGCCTGGATCGACTCGTGGGCGAGCAACTGGTCCCGGACCTCGTGCAACTTGGTCGCAATGGTCACGGGTACGTCCGGATGCTGGGCGGGGTCGCGAAGGTACGCGAGGAACGTGCGGCGGTGCGCGTCGCGCTGCTGGCGTTTGAACTCGCGCTCGTTGCGACTCAGGTCGGCGATGTACGTCGAGAACAAGTCGCGCCGCTCCGTGTCGTCCTCAACATCCTTCCATCGATCGTCCGTGACCAGCCCGAGGGATTCGTCCAGGAGATCGCCCCACCGGGTCTGAGATGTGACGCGATCGTTCCCGGCCAAGAGCTTGAGAAAGTTCTCGCGCGCGGTCTTTTGTTTGCGGCGCTTCTCCACGTTCAGTTCGTTCGCGAGTTGGGTTGTAAACTCGGCAAACGCTTGCTTCTTCTCGCCCACGCTCGACAGCACCTTCCATGCGGGAGCGTTGACCACGAGCTTCATCGCTTCGTTCCATTTCATCTTGGGCATCACGCCGGACGACTTGAGCAGTGCTTTGAACGTTGCGACTTTTTCGGATTGGGTCATCTTCTTGTACGTTTCCTCGAGGTTCTCAACGGGCACTACAGGGACGGGGGCAACGGCGGCGGTCTCAGAGGAGCCATCCTTGCGTTCAGGGGTAGGAGCGGTAGGTTCGGATTTCGTGGAGGTGGACGCGGGAGGAGTGGTTGTATCTACCTCGGGGAGGGTATCGTCAACGCTGGTGCTGTCGGGCTGTTCCTTCTCAGCGACGCGCTGTTGTTGTTGCGATGGATCAAAGAGCTTCTTCACGTCGGCCCGCGCTTTTTCCACACGGAACGCCTCGGGCGCTTCCCATACGCACTCCTTCGTTTCGCTGTGATGGTAGTAGGGCTTGCCACTGTCGTCATCGAAGTACTCTGTCCAGTTGGCGTACGTCAAGGGTTCTTCAGGTTGTTGCTGCACGGTGGGGTTGTTATTTGGATGAGACATCTATGAATCACCTGAACAACTGGAGGACTCGCGGATGGACGTCGGGCGGCGGCGGCGGATGTGCGAGAATTATCGAACAAGTTCTGGACACCTCCCATTCCCATACATCCGGTTAAATACGTAACACTATTTTCGTACTTTTGGACTCGCAACATTACACTATTTACACGAACCGTTACATATTACCTTCACTCGAAGAATGTCGTTCCCATGTTGGCTGTTTTTCTCGCCACTTGCCGGATTGATGGGAAATGCGGCCACGACGTGCTTCGAGCATATGAATGCACCGCCACCTGGACCGTCGCAGCGTCCTGCGGACGTCCATCTGTCGTTGGAGCAGGTGGAGTCCACCTGTGTGGACGGCGACCTCGTCCTCTGTCGTGAACTCGTGTACAATCCCCACATGATGACTACCCTCAACCCCGTCGTGGTCAACGGCATCGCAACCGCCTCCGTATCGGGAAACTTTTCCACAAAGCATCGCGACCTCCCTGGTAAGGACCTTCCTTCCAAATCCACCTCGTGGAATTCAAAATGTGCTGTAGCATGGACCTCGTACGATCAACCTCCCGTCGTCACCCTTCCTCAACATCCCCGATTGTCCTGCATGTAGATGTGGTCTCCTGGTTCGTCATGAAGCCAGTCTCCATGTCCTCGAAGCCACGGGCGCCGGCATTCGCCTCACGCCGCTCAAGCATAAAATTCACACCATGGCGTCCGCCAGACAAAATCGAGTGCGTATGGTTTCCCAATCGATGTATTTTACCGATGCCAACCAACTCATGTTTCAGTCAACTAATACGTACCTGAAGTACAACCATACAATCTTTTTATACTTATGTATATCAATGGCCAGTTTTGTATCCGCCGGCTGCAGCCCTCGCATGCACACGTCATTCCCGCGCTTCGTCGGCTTCTTGGAATCTTTGCCGCAAACGCTCCTTGCACATGGCAACAAGCCATCACGTCCACTCAACCGGACATTCAGTCCATCATTGGCCGCGTCCTGGAGCTCATCAAGGGCAGCGTGGCGCCGCTGACGTCCGCCGAGCTAGAAATGGTTCGCTATGCGTTCAACAAACATGACGTAGAATGTCTTGGGTGGTATGTATGTACAGTGCATACACCCTTCATGGGATTCGGCTGGACGTGATAAACGGGTGATAGGCTGTTCCTCGAAGATTTCGCCAAGGTGGCCGCGGAAATCGACGACATGGAGCTTTTCAAGCACCATCCGACGTGGCAAGATGCCGTGGTGTCGTCTTTACAAGGAAACGATGATCCCACCAAGTTCACTGCAGTGTCGCTTGTTACTGCCGCCCAAGCGATCTCTCGACGCCACATCTCGACAGAATACGACGTGACTCTCTACAGTAGCACGGCCCTCGTCGCCAGTCTGTTTGAAGCAGTCGACTTACTGGACCGAGTAACATCGGCTGCTCTCGTCCCGTCGGTGTTTGCAGAGACGGCAGACCCAACTAAAGAGTTACACATACGCCCTGACAAGGGCACCCTTGGCAAGGAAGTCCATGTGCTTCCACCCACGACAGCACATCCCGACGACCAAGCCGACATGAACTTCACCATGATCCTGCGGCAATCGTGGAGGTCGTGGCATGCTACATGATAACCGGTGCTGTTTATTGTGGTGGTATTGTAGTGACGTTCGTTGTTTTTTTGGAGAAAATAAGTCGTAACGTTACTCTAAATAGTGTGCGGAACAAATCCATTTTTGGCCAATAAATAGAATAATGCGAAATCTATCTATCCGGATAACAGCAATGTCCACGGATGCAACGAGTGCCCACCTTGTGGAAGGCGTTCTGCGCGGGCGGCAGTTGTTCCAGGCACGCCGCTTTTCCGCAGCCGAGGCAACATGGAGGGAGTGTCTCCGAGCCGCATTTGCACAAGGAAACCATGCGGCAATGTTCGTATTGAGCAAGAACCTCGGAGATGTGTGTGCGAACCACATCGAGGCCATCCAATTCTTCGAATATGCACTCGAAGTCGCGACGACGTGCGGGGTGTTGCGCGACCCGAGACTGCGGTCCAGCATTGCCAGCATCGCCGTCGCGATGCAATCGTTGGACGAGTCCATTGATACATGCGACGGTTGCGGCGCCATCGACGTACGCGTGCTCCCGCCCACGACACATTTCAACGGAGCAGATTCCGTGCTCTGTTTTCGGTGCTCGGAGCTAGCACTCCAAGGCAAGGACAATCCCGACTTGGACTCGTCGGCAATAACATGTGCGACCTGCGCGCAATCCTTTCCCCACCATGCGCTGAAACTCGACGTGGACGACCAGCACTACTGTCATGCATGCTTCGACGCGTATTACGGAGATGACGATCCAACACCATCTTGGGATCTCGAAGAAGACGAAGATGTTAGTGATGATGATGGCATGTTGTGTGCCGGCTGTCTCAGGGCCGACGGCACGCTTGATGGCGGCAATGGGCTCGTGTACTGCTCCGACTGCTTCATCGCCATCCCCTCCCACGGCCTGACTTCTGTGCCCAAGGAAGCTACCATCCCCGCCACAACGTCAAATGGTCGCCATCGCGACAACAAGCCCACCATTCCAGCTGCTGCACCGCTTCAAAGTCTAGAGTCTACACCACTGCACCACCCGATTCTGTCAACTCCGTCGTCCGTCCACGCCGCTGGCGAAGAGATTCCAACGACGGCGGTCCAGAAGTACACCAAGTCGTTCCTGCTGAGCTTGCGCGACTCAGCACAGTCGAAGGTCGTGCCCCGGGGTGTGGAAATGAGCCCTGTGTATATCCTCGGGTCACAACAGCGATTGAAAGGAGGACCTCTAAGAGGCAAGCCGACAGCGTCGACTATCATCCCAGCAGCTTCTCTAGCAACTACCACAGCCACGAATCTTGAGAAGGAAGACCATGAGTCCAATGCTGTGGTCGACACAACACAAAGGAGTGCGTTGCCGATGCCCAAGGCTGAGTTTGCTCGCCATGTCCTAGCAGTGGACGAAGCTACAGTCGACGCGGTCCGGTCGATTTTAAGCACTCGGTTGAATGAATAGACGAAAGTAACCGCGACGGTTTCATAAACTAACTGGAAGAGATACTAGTATTATGTAAATTAGAATAAAAACTAAACATAAATGAGTCCACCGCGACATTTGATTGGATATTATGAAATTTCTTGTCGCTGATTGGCTAAAATATTCTTTCGATTTTCCATGTCCTTTCTCCAGATTACTTGGTAACGTTAGCCAATCAAATGTTGCGGCGAGGTTGCAGCAAGGTTCGACAGAATTTCGAAATTTGAACGAAATTCACAGTATTTATTCGCAAAAACCTAGTTTTAAGGCGAAACGTTAAAAATAACGAATGCAAAGAGGTGGCAAGTGGAGGTGAAATGCTGGCTGATGGTACGATATGGTTACAGTATGGCCCACGACAAGATCACACATCGCGAACCACGAGATTCTCATTTACTGGTAGGTGCATTCGAGCCCGTGGTTGTGTTCCGATCTCTGTACTCCCAAGGTTAAATGAATCGTAGGAATGAGTTCATTTGATTGGTCGTATTTTGAGCCAATCAGAACCTCCCATTCCATCGTTTTCGTTCAGCAATCTTCTTCGTCAGTCGTAAACTTCCACCCTCACGAGCATCAATCTCCATGGGTCGTCGGTCGTCGTCACTCCTCGTCTTCATCTCCGCACTCGCTTGTGTCGTCGCGTCCTTGCATTGGTCTCCTTTCGGCACAGTCCTTGGCACCACCGATGGGAACGTTGACGTGTACTCGTGTCACTTGGAAGCAAGCCAAAAAGCTTTGGACCAAGACGCAAACTACGTAAACGGCACGTACACGGGTGTCAGGTGGCAGTGCGTGGAACTGGCCCGTCGATACCTTCTCGTGAACTTTGGAGTTGTGTTCGGGGACGTCGATTATGCATTCCAAATCTTCGATCTGGACACGGTCGTCAAGGTCGCGGACGGGTCCAACTTTGCGCTCAACAAGTTTGTGAACGGCGGGTCTGTCCGTCCCGAGCGCGGGTCTCTCTTGATCTGGGACCCCACTGGTGAGATGGGCATCACGGGACACGTCGCGGTGGTCGTGGACGCAACGGACTCGTACGTCGACATCGTCGAACAGAATGTGGAAGACACGATTTGGCCCACCGGACAGCGCTACTCGCGCCGCCTCAAGGTCAAGCAGAACTCGACGTCTTACTTTGTCGAAAAATGGTATGACGAAGAGCACCTCCTTGGATGGGCCACCGTGGACCTCGCCAAGCCCGTCGTGTTGAACTCGACAACATCCACTCTGCCATCGACGTCAGTCGTCCTCTCCATCGTAGGGATCTCGGCGGCAGTCGTGTTTGTCGTGTTGCGCAAACGTCGCCACGACTACGCCCTCATGCGTTGAGGACCTCATATCCTTGTTTAGTAATACGCGATACTCCCATACTACCTCTGTCCCACTTCGCATGTCGTGGTTTTTTACTTTCGGTTTTAAAATTCGAGCAAAAATCGTACAGAGTTGTAATTGGTAGAAATGGAATGCTCTGAGCGTTATGAGTCGACGATGGCCAAATTCAGGACATTCCGTTCCGAAATACGCAAAATATCCTAGTTTTACTATCTCATGGTTTTTCATTTTGTTTCATTTGAATAAAGTATGGTATGTACACAGTACAGGACATTGAAGTTCGACACCTACGGCATGAGGTAGTCGTGGACAACGACTTCCTCAAGATGAGGAACTTGTTGCAAGACACCAGTCGTGCCAACACTAGCTTGACATCACAAAGCTTTTGTATGTCCTGGCGCTACTCGTTTCCATTGTTACTGTCGACGTGTGATTTCCATTTATAGTACTATTACTAACGTAAAAAACCAATTTAAGATAACTTAACCAATTTAGGATAACTTTGTATTGCCCAATCACACCTCGTTATTTGTTCGAGTCAAAACCTCTATCATATAATGCTGGCCATTCCGTCACGTGAATGAAATGCAAAAACGGAGTAGAAGCCATTGGTAATAGTCATTCAAGATTGGGTTTGAAGTTCCCTAGTCGACACGGGCCACATTGGGTTGGATCTGAGGTCTTGTCGAGTGTTAAACTCGGTGGACATCCATCCACAACAGAAATTTAACTCTATAAAACAGTACCCTTGTATAAATTATATGCAACCTGTTGTATCCTCTTACCCTAAACACAGAATTTCAATGCTCAGACACATACATACTTTAAGATAAAAAAAGTTATCCTAAATTGGTTATCAAAATGTCAGTACAAATGCTTAGAAAGTAACAAATTTACCTGTGAAGTTCATCGCCTAAACTGATAGTTCGATTATGAAGTCAAAGAGGCGCGTCTTGTCTATTGGAATCACTATTCAAAACTCAAATATCGTAACGGACTCAAAAGTTATGTCCATTCTACTCCGACGCCTCCAAAAAAGTTATCTTAAATTGGTTTTTTACGTTACACTAGTATACTAAAATAAGGCCATAAAGTTTGGAACCAACTATTTCGCCATTCCGGTCACATTATACAATCCGCTTGCGAAAAGTTGCAAACTTTACTGTTAGTCCAATCGGAAGGGAACAGAGTACAGTATCGTCAATGTTACACCGTTGTCCGTATATAGTGTAGGCTGCACTACTGTACATGTATTGGCGAAACGTCATTTGGAGGGGTCCAACGCATGAATAGTGTACTACATGTAGTAGTAGCCTTCAGGTAACATTATATATAGGATAAAGTGAATAATACACATATATTATTAGTGTAGGCAAAACTGCCACAAATGTGTATGTGCTTCAGTTCCAACGCGTCCACTATTTGGTGCATTTTGCGTTGGCACTGAGGATATATATCAGCTACCAAGTCGAGACTTCACCAAATAAACTATATTTCCATGTAACGTTATTTGAAGGTCGCCATAGAGGAGCACTCCCTATTAATAATGTACCCAAAACAAATAAGGAAGCCACATACACTAGTTACGAGTAGAAATCAACGACCCTTGCCAAGAAATACAAACCGGAACTTGTATTATGGACCTAAAAGTACAATCAACCAATCTCGTTCATGTCGTGGGCAAGATAGAACAGTCTTTGGCTAAGTACTTACTGTAGTTATTAGTACTTGAAGGAGGCCTCATAAACAGCGATTGGGAAATCTTGATCGAAGATATATCTTTTTCTTTTATCGATTTTAACATCGTATTGTACCTATATTAAGAAATAATATATATCGCTTATCGAATCGTATCGAACGCAATGGTGCAATATCGTATTCATATTAGGAACGCCAGTACAATATCGATACATATCGATATCGGATGTGTATGAGGTTGTACAGTCATATACTAACTACGTACTACTTGGAATGTACTGTAGTACAAACATGCGCAATATATATCGTAATCGAATGTGAAGCACGGTACCATGTCGATATCGAATAGAATGGGGCAATAAATATTATTGTTGCACGATAATACGATAGTATCGAGAAATAATTATTTATTTATCCGATCGCTGGTCATACAATGGCCTGGCAGCATCAGCCGCGTCGTGCCAGTTAACGTGTGCGGTGGGGGGACAGCGATAGTCGGTACTCGAACGCTTGCAGATCATCCGCACCTGAGCTCGTACACGTGTCACTTTCTGCTTCGTGCGCCCGTGCCAGTCGGGCATGTTGCCGCTCCATGACCTTGACAACCACGAACGACGCTACGAGCATCACGAACAGCCCAACCACGACGTTGATGACAAGCAGTGGAAGCGAGAACATCGTGATGCTGGGGGGGGAGGTTGCCGGCACTAGGGTGGTCACGGCTGGTCCTATTCCAGGTGATGATTATTTCCAGTAGTTCAGTCTCGTTGATTTTTCGCAGGTCAATGCCTTACTGTCTTTTGCTCTGAAAATAATGCACACCACCGCATTCACATCGGCCGTGACGACTCTGGTGATCGCAAAAGCTGTCGAGTTTGGGCACCACGACGACGCGGTCTCCATGCCTTCACTGGTCATACTCAGCAAGAGGCGAACCCCCGGGCGAGTGAGCTGAGCCCACGTCCGAGCCCCGACGATAAAGCTCGTGATGTTGTTGCCGGATAGGTCCCTGCGGTACACACGTTAGAAAGCCGACAAGTTGGACGACGGGGGGGGTGGTGGTGTACAGTGTTGTGAGGGATGTGGGAAAGGATGGGCGGTTGATGGTTGTTAGGTTGTTTCCAGTGAGGATTCTAACACTTTCTCATCAATATCATAACATGTATGATTGCCATACAAAGTGGTCAGTTGTGGCAGTCGAGTCCAGTTGAACGTAGTCGTTGCATCCATACGGCTGATGGCATTGTAGCCGAGATCTCTATAGTTTTTGGCGTCGATTTCATGCGCTTTCTATAGCCCAATAATGCTTGGGCCTATGCCAACGTACAAGAAATGGAGCGTTGGTGGCAGGTTCACGACGCCGGTGGCATTGATTTCGTTGTGGCGAAGGTTCCTATTCAGAGGTTGTTCAGTCGTTCGTACGCTCTGCGACACATTCACGTACAACGACATGACTTTGACCTGCGATGTGGACGCCACGTTGATTGATCGAAGCCCATTCGACGATAGATCGCTACCGAAGCAATAAGCAACCAAATGTTGGATATTGTAAAGCGTGACGTACATGGTATGAGGATGAGCTGGAAACCCTTGGATCGAGGAAATGTTGTGGTGGTTCAAACGAAGACTGTTGGGGTCATCCTGAGACACAGTCAAGATTGAACCCGTCGCCTCCTTTCGCAAGCACACGGTTGGCGCAGTGCCGTCGTCGCTGTGGTTGGTCTGCGGGCATGTTGCCAATAGAATCATCTTGCCGGACTCGATGAACCCCGCTGCAGCTAACGTTATGCTGGAAAGCGCCATGATAAGAGCAAGCAGCACCCCAATCGTCATCGCCTGTGCCTTGGTCACTGAAAACGCACCAATGAAATGACAGTTTTGGAAAGGATGTCCACGATCGCTTGTTCGTGTATCTTGAAGTTGAAACACGTTTTAGTATTTTGACGAGTCCGTAACCAAGTAAAACGTATACGTTAAACATCGACCACAATTATATTTTCAAGGATTCTGGCATTGATCGTTTTGGATGAGAAACTCCAAAATTTTGGGGTGCGTCTATAGTTTTGTCTCGGACTGTACTACGTTGTACGTATAACTTACTCCAGCCACTTTTTAAGAGGAGTTTAATAGTATTAACGTAGATGGCCAATTTATGGTGCACTTGAAGGAGACCTCGTCGTAGAATGCAGCTTACTCGTCTCTCGGGACCGGGATTTGAATTCTGAAAAGTGCATCATGAAGCTTCTGATTATTTAATCGGCTTGAATAGACTACAGCTTAGCGTTCATTTACTTCGATTTCCACTGAAATCAAGGCAAAATAAGAGGGACGGTTTAAGGTGCACGGTTTAACAGTAAGCTTACATGGTAACATATGTATGCTGCTTTTTCTTATTTGTGGTGATTTCATTTTTCTAGTGATTCGATTGGCTATTCCAAATAGCAAGCAATTCATTCCATTGGCACCTTAAACTGTCTCGTGGGTAATACTGTACCATATAACGTATGTCCTTCCGGATGATTATGTCCTTCGGGGTTCCTCTATATATCGATACTCATATACTCACCCAAAGCACAGTAAAAACCGAAGATTACACACCGCCCCTGGTCGCTCAAGGTTTTTGTTCATATCTCTGTCTGAAAAGCATGAACGAAATGAATTTGATTGGTCAGTGGTATCCGGTTTTCGGAAAATATTCATGTTTGAGTTGGTGGTTCCAGACAGAGATGGAGCATTCTTGCTTTTGGCAGACATTCGTGTTTCACTGTAACCTGGGTCCTTTGGTGCGATGCGAGTGTCGAAAAAATGTTCGACCTTCGTTACAAATCTGACTTGGCCACACGTTTTGACCCGAAGAACAACTACGGGAAACGTGTGGCTTACGTCATGCTTGCGACGGACTTAGCATTGCCATGAAACGTGAATTCACGTCGAAGCAAGTGCAGGACAAGGTCAGATATTTTTGTAATTTATGTACACTTTAATTTATCACCAGTGATTAGTTTGCAAAATTGAATCGGAGTGGTCAATCTCAAAGCCATGTTTGCCAAGTCCTACGGGCAACTCTTCGTTGCAGCCCATTCCAATGCACTACGATGTTATGTTGGAATACTGGGGTGAAAAAGCTGGCTACCAAAAACGAAGCTCTGATGAGTACGGGCGATCTCAGCGACGATGACAACGCCGAAACAAAAATCGGTATGAATAAATCTATCATGCTATCTTTTTCCATTTTCTTGAGTCAGAATTTTTCCATGATTTTTGCTTGAGCAAGTTTTATTTTTGTGAGAGATAATTGATTCCGATTTTAAAAATGATTTTACACGTTAATCTGGTCAATTTATTCTTACAAGAGATGATTTGTAGAAACGTCTGAGGTGGAAAACGTCGATGTGCCAGAAAGAAAGACAGAAGGGACGAAACAAAGCAAGACTGAAGGGCCGCAACGAAAAAAGGTGAAACAAAGCAGCCCGGGTAAGAAGTCAAAATCCAATTCGGAGTCTTTGGAATCTGGGTTTAATGCCATCAAGGAGGGACTTATGTTCTTGGGAACCTCCATGGCGCAGCAGCCTCCGGCGCATACTGCACAAGGTGCCACGTTGGATGACGTTCTGGATGCGATCAAGGCGCAGTCGGACACAATGGCCCAGCTTGTCGCCATCATGGTTGCCCAAACAAAGAACAGCAATAAATATAATTAAGCTTTGTTGACTTTTGTATTTTCAAATCTATCTTTGCATCAATTTTGCAATTGACAATCTCTCTTATCAAATTTATCTGTATAATATTTTTACAATTGATAATCTCTTGGACATCGCACTCGTTCGGAGGAGCTTGTTCGTTTCGCGGACAAAAATTTGAGCTTCGCATCGACCAGTGCTTGGATGTTGAGGGAGGGGTCGCCATTGCGATTGTAAAAACCGTCGAAATCATCTGGCCGATAAATATCGACCAGGGTCCCGTCGACAGCTCCAACAATACCAGGGATGTTTTGTTTGGCAAGAAATTCCATTTCTTTTTGGGCCCAGTCTGATGCAGCCTTGGGCAGTTTAAGACACGATTTTACATGGGCAGCCAAAATGGTGACGCACCAGGACTTTGACATGCCGAACATAGCACCGGTTTCACGGTATCCACCGTCGGAACCAAGAAAGTAGAGCAAAACAGCAACCTTTTTTTCGAATGAGTGGGGCGTCGTACGATGGCACATATCGGGCTGAACAGCGCGAAACCATGACACAAGTTGAGTAAAGGTAGCTTGGCTACAACGGAGGTTGGTCTCGAATCACTGATTGAATGTGGCATGACGAGCATAGAGTCAAAGTCGACAGTTGTTATAGTGAAGACATTGTACTTGTCCGCACGACCCAGCATGGTAGCCACAACAACGCCCACGAAAAATATCGTATATGCCGCAGCAACAACAGCGACCTGTTCAGTCTGCATTGGACTGTACCAGGAGATCACAGACACGAACGATTGTGTTCACCGACCAGAAAACCAGGCGACATCCGAATATTGATTATCCGTACAGAAATGAACCACCTCGGACATGAAATAAATTCTTCCCCGACCAGGCCCTAAGGGCCTGCATATGTAATTGGCGCAGCGGTTCCACAACATGTGGTTCTAGTATCGGCCCTCGCGGAGGAATGTCTTAAAAATGATAATCCAAACTCAATTAATCACCCAAAGCACAAAATGATACAAGTTTGCCTTTTGCAGAAAAATAACCTTTTATAATGCATAAATTATCTAGCTCCTTATATTATCCATTTATAGAGGGAGAAGTTTTTGCGCGCGCGAGCTTGACAAGGCACGTCACTCCACACCTTTCAAAATGGACAGCAGTCAAATGACGATGCCTCAAACTAAGCCTTGTGGCTGTCCACGCCTCAAACAAGGCCCCACCAAACCTTCGACGAAGTACCGCAATGTCACATGTCGCTCGCGATGAAGCAGGCAGTCATCGAGACTTTTGACGACGTTGGGATGGCGGCGACACTTGCTAAGCACTTCTCCCATCACAGTGGCGCCAAGTTGGACTCTACGCGTAAGAAGGTATACTCTTTGCTTCAACAGCGTGTTCACATTAAGACTTCGCGTCACCTCTGTTCAAGAGCGAGGAGCAGCTTGCACAATGGATAACTCAAAGCGCACTGACCGTTTTTCGGTGACCCCTCGAAAGATCCAAGTCATGGCTTTGGAGATAGTAATTGACGTCGGATTGGATGAAAGCGCATTCACAGCACAAGCTGGTCATGGTTCCAAGGCTTCAAGAAGCGAAGCAAGTTTTCCCTGCGGTATCGGACTCGCACCGGGCAAGATACTCAAGGCGACAGTGCAACGGCACTGGACCAGTTCGCGGCTCGTGTTGCTTAGGTGGCCACGACAACAACATCGACGTCATCTACAACGCGGATCAGACCGGCGTCAACTATGAGTACCTCCCCACCAAGAGGTTAAATTCGATGAAGAACCATGTCATCTGGATCAAATGCAGCGGCAAGATCAAGGATCGTGCGACCGTGATGGTCATGGCTGATCCGACGGGCAAACCGTTTTCAATTGTTTCTGGTGTTGAAGACCAAGGCATCAAAGATCAAGTCCGTCGTGCAGGAGAACCTGGTGCAACTCTTGGGATCAGTGTAGATTTCCTGCGCTATCACTTTTCTGTCCGACCCGACCGCTACACGAATATTGTTGTTGTGGAACGACTTCTCAGCGCACTTTACTGATGAAGTTGTTATGGTGCTGCGGAGTTGAATGTTCTGCTGGAGAAGATTCTTCCACGGTTTACGTGGGTGTGTCAAGCTGCTGACGTCCCGTGGATCCGTCCAATGAAGGCACGTCTGCGTCAGAAGTGGATGGACAGTGTTCGACGGCAAGTCCTGCGAAGTAAGGCGAAGAAGGAGACGTTTCAGCTCCAAGCCCCGAAGCGTCCGACTCTTGTGCAATGGATTACGGAATCGCGGTCAGGTTTGGATTAATCTATCATCATGAATGGCTTCGCTAAGTGCAAGATTGTGGCTCAAGCAGAGGAAATTGCTGAATCACCTGAAGATGCGGTCTTAGCGTGCATGTTGTTTGAATTAGTGGCGCGGTGCGCTATTGATGACACAACTGATCCAATGGATGATATGGATGTCAACAGTAACGACGAATAAATTTTGTTTCAATTTAGTATTGGAGTATGTATAATATGATTCTACTGTGAAATTGTGATACCTGTATTATTTTATACGATCTTATACTTTAGCTGAAAACTGCAATGTTCATATTATTTACTGTACTTGAAGTTTATATACTACAAGGAAAAATTAGAGTCAAACCACCAGTGTCGTTTGGTTGTGAAATATCACCCACCCGGAAGGACATAGGTTATACGATATACACCTACTACAACCTAAACATTCATTGGACGCGGTTCCAACGCTCCAACGCACATCTGATGCAAATCAACTGTAACATTTGCCCCTTATTGTATCGACATCATTCGAGTATAACGTTAGCGAACTTGGCTGCACCATCTAATCGCGAAGTTAAGCGGCATTGTCCGCTATACAGTACTGCAGGAAAATACGCCATAACGTTAGGGCCATGTTAAGGTGCATCTTTCGGCGTGTACATCTAGTTACTTGTACACTTCGAAGTATATCTTTACCTATTGCTAAAGCATACTAAGTTAAAGTCAAGTTCGTTTTTACGGTTGCTATTTTACCACTATCCGGACATTTTTGAAATTTCGTCCCTCAGAATTTCTACTGTACGTTTGGGCGAAAGCGATTTCCCAAAATTGAAGGAGCCTACTCCTCCGCCAATTCAAAACATTACTAACTACGGAATAGCCCAGAACATCCACGACAATGTCCTGCGTGTACTGTGCTAGGTTGCATACCAATACGTGGAGTATTGCACGAGCAGTAGCTTCCTTCATTTTCGAATGCAGCATAGATTTCATGACTTTCATCTCTTCAACACCATCCAACCAAAAACGAATTTTGACCGTATTATTTTACAATGTACTAATAACTTGTTCTGGTTGGACTGAAGTGGTACTTCGAATACATACAGACAAACGGATATGATTGGCTTATTTAAACCAATCCTTAGTTTGGCCCAAAATATCTCAAGCATGATTGGATAGAACTGAAGAAACTTCGGTAGTGCCGGTTAGGCCCAACGAGCATTGTTGCTCGCTGTAATCACATATTTTTATTGTGACTGAGAATAGTATTTCGACAATTTTAATTCGAATTTGCAATCATATTATACTCGGGCAATAGGAAATACTAACTGCATTTCAATACAAACCACAAGTCAGATAAAGATGAATTTGACGCTAAACTGTTTTATATTATACTCGGGCAATAGGAAATACTAACTGCATTTCAATACAAACCACAAGTCAGATAAAGATGAATTTGACGCTAAACTGTTTTATACTGATCTGAAGTACTTCCCAAAATTTCAGCAAAATTGGAGTACTCCGGAGTAGTATTGAGGAAGTTACGAATTTTCTGAAGCGTTTTCGCCCAAACGTACGGTAAGGTAATGGGAGACTTCCAAAAATCACGCAAACGCCATTTCCGTAGTATTTCGCATCCGGATAACTGGTCATTTTTACAGTTAATCAAGCTGACAGTGAGCTTAAATGCTTGTGCTACGCGTGCAACCAAAAACCGAGCAAATTATACTACAGGTGTCATTCCATTGGTCAAAATGTCGATCTTAAACAAAAATGATTGGAAGAAGTTACATTTAGTTACATTGGTTATTGAGACGTCATCCTCATGGCTAGCGCGCTCATGGCATCTATAGCACATACTGGTCCCGCCGACAGCGAACGCGGCGCAAGATATAGGCTCTCCGAATGCGCGGTCAACTCAAGGAAAGAAACACGTTAGCACCGTTGCCCTCGTAACGAACCAAGAAGATACTGTACACCAGGTACTATGCTCAAGACCAGTCATCCTTCCTAGCCACCTTGTCCCTGACCCCAGCAGCATTCCATGAGTTGCTGCATGCATTCGGCCAAACATACGTTGTCCACTGGCGACGTACGAGACGTGGCAAGACCACCCCGTGTCCCACATAAACACGCAGTTCTGGCCATGATATTGCATTTCTACACAGCTGCAGTCGATCCGAAGGTTTTACAAGAGCTCTTTGGGCTTGCACCATCCACATTCTCTCGGGTTATCACCCGCGCTGACGATGCACTGTCGATGACCCTCGCCACGCATCCAGTGGCCATAGAAGCAAACCCAAGCTTTCTGGGCAAGCCATACGCAACAACGCGAACCCCTTGTCACCGGTGTCTTTGCCTTCTTGGATGGCAAAAACTTCGGCAGCTCCGTATATAAACTTGTCGATCGATCGGCGTTTATTGGCAACGTAGGATTGCATTCCTCCTTCGGCCGTGATACGTTTTAGTTGTTGACTTGGGTTGCGTAATGCGATCACGTTCAACCCAGTGTGGCTTGGACACTCATCTTGGCTTGGACGGTCATCACGAACCTGTGACACTTCCGGAACGGATTGTTCCAGTTCGTTTGGACCTAAACAGAGATGTCACTACGCATCACATAGTATAACATTGTATGTATCTGACGTTTGGGAATCCAATTCTTCGTCGCCATCATCGTTGTCTTCCATACTGAGGACAACAGCTTCTGCATCAGTGTGCCGACTGATGCGTTTGACACGAACAACGTCCTGGGGGCATAACGGGTCACCCGTTGGCTGGGCGTGGTTGCGCAAGAGGCCGAACTTACTTTTCAAGGCATCGACATCTCGAACTGGATATGAGCTAGAGTTATAAGCTGATTCAACTCTGACCCACACATTTCGTCCTGCAGGTAGGACCGCTTCCATGTGAATCCAGCATCAACGACACGAATCCAGGGCACTACCCCATTCCTCTTCCTTCCTTGGACATCGATTTGAAAGTGCGGGCTCCAGCCAACCAACCTTCATGTACAGTGGGTACGGAAAGTTTAAGTCCATCTGTCAAATTTTCAAAAAAAATAAGATCATTTCATAAATACTTATTACCTGAATGTGACTTTTGGTGCATTGGAATCACGATTTAATTGGCTATCAAACTCAATCAGTCTGGATGCTCAACTGTAAGTACCGTAGCGTACACAATAACTACCCGGGCGTAATATCTACCCTGCTGCGCGGTCAGAATGACTACCCTTGCCACCGAAGGCAGCTTAATTTTTCTACCCTGCCAGAATTGGCGGTCGAAATATCTACTTTGCCACTACCGCCGAGATGCGACGTCGTCTCATCTTGTCTTTGTTCGCACCTTGGTTAGAACAAAGCCATGGAAGCAACAACCGCTGACGGAAAGAAAGGTGGCGATGGCAACAACCAAGTGCGGGCGCAGTGGATTGCGAACCTCAAGAAGAAAAGCATGCTTTGTGAATTCAGTACAATACCGCATTATGCTTAATGTGAAAACAAATGTACTACTATTTCAACTCAAAAGGAAAAATGAATGATTAACTACTGTAGTTACATCCAGTCTTCGTCTTGTTCCTCAAGCACAAAGTCGTCGCGCAGATCAGCGTTAAGGAGTACGAAGTCTTCGCGAACCACCACGCGTGGGCGCTTACGCAACTTGCAAGGTTCGGTGGGATAGTCGGTGTTGCTGTCGTGGCGTCGCTTTAGAACTTCCAGTCGCTTGCGTAAAAGTATGGCGCGTTCCATATAGCTTTCGTAGCATCCCATGTATTGATGAAAATCGCAGTAGAGTCGCGCGGAGTCGTCGAGACTGCGTCGTCGAGACTGCACGGGTGAATACAATCAGTCCACTTGTATTGGCAGTGGACAGGTCGGGTGGTCATGTCGAGATGAAGATTGATTTGAATGACTAGAGCACTTTACTTATCGAACGGTTGAACATTTATCGAAAAACAGAAATATTCACTATTTACCGTCCCCAACCGAAAATGTATCGGACGAAACGGTTTTACAGTTTCGTTCATAAAAGATTCGTTTAATATAAAGTACACCATACTTTGAAACGCTGAAACGGCGACTCCTTGTTTCGTAAAAAGGTTGTTCGCCTGGTCATGAAATCTTAGGTATGTACTGCCTATTGTACATTCAAAATGTTTGGTTATGTACATTGGGTACATAGTACAGCTGTACTATAAGTCGTTTTGACTGCAAGGAACGATATTGAGTCGCGATAAAATTACATTCCTCATATTAAAATTGGCCTAGTGCTCACAACATGTGTGCTACCACGAATGCAACAACTCAGGTATGAGTACTACCTGTCTGACATTGAATTGTTCTAATGTTCGTAATTAGTAACCTTGGGAGCGATTTGACCGCAAGGCATTCATGACCAACACGAGGCACCGTTCAAAACCAATCCTGTCTAGTAGCAACCACTGTGTTTGGACTGTCAGTTCGACTGCTATGCAGGATGCGGGTTTCAGTCCATCACTTTGGTGGGCAGGTGTGTACGGATGAGTTCTACTCTACGGGGGGGGAGCATCGTTGCGAAACCCTGGTTGAACGGAGCTAGTGTTAAACCTGATAGCTGGACTTCATTTGTGGCTCTACGCTACACTGTCGAATGTTGGCCCCATCGAGCGCGTGTACTTGCAACCCCAAGACAAGTTTGGCCATGGAATTATCTGTACTTTGCAGCTCAGTGATTTGACGTTGGGTTTTTAGGCCAGAGATCTATGGTTCGATCCCACGTAAGTTTTGTTTAATTTCTTATTATTCATATTACCGACGTCCAAATATAGGTGATGATTTGAAATTTCAATGTTTTGTCAAGCTATACACGCCTCTACCAAGGCTCTTTGTTCGTCCTCCACTTCATTGCAGGCCAATCAATCCTGCATTTACGATGCATAGCACGGACCTCGGAAGTGTCGAGACCAGGCTTTTGTGTGTCCATTCGAGGTAGTGTTGATCCCAGTGGCAATGTTGGCGTTGTTCCGAGTGGTAGCGATGGTGGCTGTGGCAGTGATGTTCTTCCAAGTGGTTACGATGGTGGCGGTGTCAGCGATTCCGTTGGCAGCAGCGAAGAACCGAGTGGTGGTGGTGCTGGGGCCTGCCGGCCCGTTGGCGGTGGCACTGGCGATCTCATTGGCAGCAGCGGTGTCAGCGATCGCCCAAGTGGTGGTGATGGTGGCTGTGGCAGCTGCGATGAGCAGAGTGCGCCCGCAGTGTCCGTGAAGCCGCCATGCACATGGGAGCTGTGCGTGAGCTAATCCTTCAACGGTCCGAAGACCTTCTGTGTGTCGTGCCAGCGATCCTATTAACAGCCGCGGCGAGCCCATTGGCGGTGACGATGGGGGTGGTGTCGTTGTCAGCGATCTTATTGGTTGGTGTCTGGTGTCCTTTGACGGCAACTTCTTCAAGTTTGTGGACGTTCCTGATGATGGAAATTGCCTTTTCCACAGCCTCGTTGCCCCTGGCATTTTGCCAATGCGAAGTCACCACGAGTTGCGACGATGTATTGCTGAGATGACTTCGTCACCACGTTGGTCCCGCTTGGTATTAGACGTACTCAAGATGTTCAAGGGGGCTGCTGTTGATGTTGCGTTCTATCGAAAACAAGTGGCGCACAACGGTTCTTGGAGCGGTGACTGTGAAATGTGTTTGGTCGCACTCCTCTTTGGCGTCAAAATCACATCGTATGCATATGTCAAGGGGTATGACATGGCGGATGAAGGCCTCTCGGTGTTCAGTGCGATCAAGGCATTGTCGTGTTTCGCCCACGACGTCAACTTCGTCAACGCACCAGAGTTGTTCGTACATTTTCACAAATTTCGAGAGCCGAATACCAGTAACCCCTGGCCGCACTTAAACCACTTCAGTGCCTTAGTACCACGCGACCACTTCATGTTCGTGGACCCGAAGCTTCAGCCAGATAGTCCAAGACCTACCAGCACGAGGACGGATCAGAGAGATCTCCAAGTCTACAGCTGTAGCCTTTTCCAGCTAGCCCAAGACCTGCGGCTTCAAGTTTGGTTGTGACCCCATGGCTACAGCCTTGGCCAGATCACTCATGCCCTGCGACGTCGAGCTTTATCACCGTGCAGTGTCTGCCTTGTCGGCTCAACCAAGACCTGCGAGCCCGCAGTTGCTGCCTTTGCAAGACAATCCAAGACCTACTAGGTTGTGGCCCCGAGGCTGCAGCCTATGACAGGGCCTACTGCAAGTGTACACGGGTGCGTGATGTTATCACTGGAGCCCAAGAAGGAACGCGTTTACACTCAACTAACCCTCAGCGCACCCCCGTCATGGAGCAAGAAACCAGAAACGGTGAAGCGACCCGTGAAGCGACCCAAGACAGTCGCCGAGAAGACCGACATCATGATGCGGTACATTCAAACGCTCCAAACCCCACCAACCTTCAAGTCAAAGTTGATGCAAGGTCGAAGCGAGGCGCTACGCATCGAAGAGGCCAAAGTCGATCACATGCGCAAGTTGGAAGTTGAAGTTGTGCTGTCTGTGTTGGAAAACGCCATCGCATTTATTGAAGCCAACGAAGTCCGCCTCCCGGTCGTGAAGTTGAAGGAAAACTGTTCCGAGTTGACTTGGCACAGCCGATCCGTTATCATCGCCTACTACTTGCATCCAACCTTGGCCGACCAGTGCGTGTCGTTGACTGTGAAGTTGTTCGAAAGCTATGCCACAAGCCGAAGCAAAGAACGAAATGGTTTGACATCGTCAAGGAACTGACACCAAGGGGCATCCTGGCATCAATTTCCACGTCAAGGAAATGCAACATCGATGTTGGAGCTCAACTTTCGGATCAGCGCATCCCTGATCGCATCTTGCGTCCGTATTGTCCACTTCCGTCGAATGACACTTCACCATCATTCATGGTAAATACATCACACATCCATGGAAGAATATATATGCAACCAAATTATAATACAACTAACACTATAAATAATATTCATAGTCGACTTTGAAGAGGGATGCAGCCTTGAGCCAGCAAAAGATAACGTCGCACTCAAACCACAAAGCGGATCGTGGGTAGCGTGGCAAAGCTAGGAAGGAAACCTGTCTTCCCAGAACAAGACGCATGGGTTGAGTCCTATGTTGTGACGTGCTTTGAGCGAGGAAATCCAGCGACGAAGCTGGATGTATACAGTGCTTTGTCAGCACATGAGTGGTAAATAACTAAGTATGTCAATGCTTATGCTTAATGCTACGAGGATAGGAAGTCGGATGCCTTCAAGGTGATGTTGGATAGCCTTGAAGCACGGCGTCTTTGGCTGCGGAGGCTTCTGCAATGCATCAAGTACTCGGTCAGGAAAGCCTCGATCAGCCAGAAGATTCCATCCGATTGGAAGACAGTCGCAGCAATCGATTCGAAGCGAATCCTGGACCGAATGAGGGACATGGACAGAGTCGTCGCTATGGACGAGACCTTTATCATGTAAGTCGATTATACATTATCAATTGTTTCGAGTCTATAGTAAAATGGAACCCGTGCATAGGTTCCACATGACAAACAAACAGTTGCTTGTACCAACGGGTACAAAGCGTGTTGGTTCTGTAAACCCCATTGACGACGAAAAAAATGGTGTAACCCTTGTCGTGGCTTGTGAAGTGTACTCCTCGCGACTGCTTCCACCATTTGTCGTGGACACTGGTGAGTTTGGTGCGAAGCTGATGCAAGAATGGACATCGTACAAGAAAAGTGACGTTGTCTTCAATGCAACGCACTGGATGACTCAGTACATCTTTACCACCTTCCTGGCATGGCTTAAAACACTGTATCCGGGAGAAAAAATCGGTAAGTGCTCTTGATAGCTTGATGCAAGGAATTAATTACGTCGTAGGTGTCATTGTCGACCGATCACGAACTCACTATGGCGACATTGTTGACAACTGGCTTTCAACCAAGGCGGGGGAGGGCATTTTGATGGACTTTGTTGCCGAAGGCATGACGTCAATACACCAAGTGGGTGATATTGCAATCAATCGGCCACTCAAGGAGAAGATTCGAAGAAACTATGGCGTGCTCACTCTCACCAGGCGACGTGTTTCGCATCGACCGCGCTCTACTCATTGGCCTCATTGAAGATGCCTTCGATGCAATCAACAAGGAGAACGTCAAGGCGTCAAGGATAAGTGGATTGTGAGGGCGTTCGAAACCTGCGGTCAGCATCCTATGTGTGGATTGACTTCTGCCTTTGATGCACACCTGTCGTCATTACAAGAGAACACTATTTATTCGACTATGTTGAGTGCGTCAGCTCGGCTAACTTTACAATAAAGGAGTTGCTTGTTTAATGCCTTTCGGGATAGGAGGTCGTTACCGACGATGTGCCACGACAAGTTAATGATTGCTACCTTACATTCTGATCAAAATATTTAAATGTTTTCGACCAAGTATGAACATATGATTTTCAATATAACTATAAAATTGTATGTGTATACACAATGTAGTATTAAATTTCGGTCTTAAATAAGGTACCCTCCATACTATGGCGCTCGAAATAACTACCCATAACGAACTCATTCGGCTTAAGTTTTGCTACCCTGGACGAAAAATCCCTGGGTAGTTTTTGTGTACGTTACGGTAATGCGTTTACACCTTTGATTGCAAGAAAGTACCACTGTCCATCTCACGGCAGGAGGATAATCATGACGACAACGGTATGAAATCGTCGCCTAAGTCAAATTCATCATTATTAAATTGTTCCCAAACACAAACGAAAGCATTCATCACACGCACGCGCTCCCAACACTACTAATGGGCAAGTCCAAGCAACACCCTCCGGAAATTCGGGCCTTGGTCGTTTCGAAGAACCACGATGGCCAAACAAGTGCAGAAATCGCACAAGCGCTAGCCATGCCTAGGTCATCCGTTACGACGATAATCAAGGCATTCAAATCAACTGATCTTTTGCATGCCGCACCTCGATCTGGACGCTCAAGATTGACCACTGAGCAGGAGGACCGCATCATTGTACGCGCCATGAAACAAAACCGTAGCCTCAGCGCGGAAACACTACAAGAAACATTTGCAATATTCCATGACAAAGGCATATCGCGGACAACCATTCGCAATCGCATCACCTCTGCTGGGCGTAATAGCCAGCTGCACGCAAGAAGCCCTTCTTGTCGAAACTAAACCGGAAGAAGCGATTTGCGTTTGCCATGAAATACCAAACGTGGACGCCTGAGATTTGGGAGAAGGTTATGTTTACTGAAGAAAGTCCTTTTAACCTAACTGGGTCCTGCGGGCGCGATTACGTGTGTAGAAAGCCTGGCGAGGGGTTATTGGACGCATGTGTTGTCCCAGCGTTCAAGAGCGGACGGCAGACTGTCATTGTGTGGGGTGCTATTGGCTTCAATGGAACTGGGAAATTACTTGTTAATCGACGGCAAAATGAAGTCTGCGGACTACCTGGAGTTTCTGGAGGACCAATTACCGGACAATTTTACCAAATTGGGTTTGCCCCTCGACTTTGTCTTCCAACAAGACAACGCCCCTATCCATAAGGCCAACATTGTCATGGGTTTTCTGGACGAAAACGCTATTCAAGCGCTTGACCATCCCCCCAAAGCCCCGACCTTAACCCCATTGAGCATGTTTGGGAATAAATTGCTCGGAAACTTCATGTATCGCCCGCATCTTCGCTTGGAAACCTGCAATTGAAAATTGAGAAATTCTGGGATGAAATTCCGTTGGATTACATCCACAATTTGATCAATTCTATGCCAAAGAGATTGCAAATGGTTATTGTAGCAAAAGGTGGCCATACGAAGTATTAATGCTTAATGACTTAAAGTTTTTTTGGCCTTATCCAAAATTGGACATAAACTTTTGGACAGTGGTACTTTGTTCGTTCCACGCTAAGTTTTTATTGGTCAAAACATTCGTCGATTTCATTATCGCATTTGATTGGTTAACGCAGGAGCTTTTCAACGAACACTTTCGATTCGTCGCTCCCCAAATATCTTGTAAGATATTCCAAAAATAGAAAATAAATGCAGCTGGACTTAAACTTTCCGTACCCACTGTTGACATGAACCCGTTTATTATAATATTAGTGTATGCAGCATGAATGCGAACGACCTGTTGCATAAAGCTGAGACCGTTTTGACCTATCCGCAATATGCTACCAGTTCTGTGAAGTATTTTTAATCGAGAAATGTCTCATTTTCTACTGGTAGTAAAATAAAATGCGCGATTTTTGGAAGTCTCCCAATGCATCGATTGTTGACATGGCACCAAATTGTGAGACTGTCTGACTTTTAGCCAATAGCATCTCGATATTTCGTGTTGGCCTTGTATCATTGGATATGATAATCTTCGTCTCTATATTTTATTACACGTCTCAATGTTGAAGTGTGGTCAGTTTTTTTCAATCTCAAACAAAAAAATACAAGTATTGAAGTACAATGCCAACTAAAAATCCTTGACGGTGTACCACATGCCTACGAGAGCGTCACGGCAGTTGTGCATAGCTACGTGATACATGGAAGTACTCACTTTCGAGTCATCTCTACCAATAAGCTGCGTATTACTCGTCGCAACGAGTGGATGGTCTCCACTATGCCGCTACTGTTGTGATGAACAGCAGTGAATTAAAATGTGACTGCAATTTTTTACGCTGACTAATTAAATTCATGTAAGAGTTTATTACGTGTTGCGAAATGCAGGCAATTATATTTTTGATCAAATTATTTTGCATATTAATTTAATCAAATACAAACATCAAGGATTTTAAGGAGTGTCATGAATTGATTCATCTCAAAAGTCGTGACCATAACGCTCAAAACATTTAATTTCGATACAAATCTGAAATGTAGTCCAATCATGCTCAATGATACGTAAAAAAAATGGTGGCGTTCTATATTCTCCTGTGGTGCTATCAGCATTAAAATACGTTCTCGTTCTCGAGCTACTGGGATTTGAAGGTCATGACCAAAACTTGACCAAAAGCAGTGTCAATAATTGATGCATTAACTTACCTTACGTGAGATAGCAACAAACCCTCCGGATAGTGCAAAGTTTCTATTGTATATCCGAAACTTCCAATTGAAATACTACGTAGTAGAAATAAAAACACCGTTGGAGATGCTCTAAGTCGTCTACTGTATTCAATACCGCATCTCTCTTCATCTCTCGCCTAGGCTCTCATAGAGCCTCCATTCTTCGAGCCATCGCGACATCGGACGGGATCGCAAAATTTGGTGTAACGTTATTAACGTTGATCTTTCCATATACTTCGAAGTATATACAGTATTATCTAGTTTGAAGTGTATTTTGAAATATCACATAAAACGATCAAGTCAAAGATGGTATGAGACAAATGCAACAGAGTAGTACAGGACTACAGTAGTATGGTACAGTCCGGAACGAAACTATAGACGCACCTTATTTCTTTTAGTTTGTCATGAAATTTATAGTTTTATCCAAAACCATCAAAGACAAAAACCTTCAAATCGTGCTTCCAGGTACTCTACAGAAGGATTTTGCTCAAATATTTGTGGATCCAGATAAAAATCCATATTTCAAAATTTTGGGTGTAACAAAACTATATACGCACTGATTATATTGGCTCATATATCGATACATTGTCCAATATCCGTAGATAGCGGTTTGTGTACACTTAGGTGGTACGGTGGACTATTCCATAAACTGTATAATCCTATATAAATTGTACGATACCTCGCTGGTACTATTAATACTATGTGAACGAACGCACAATGAAATTTTGAGGTCACCTTATAGCGAGGTAACATACAACACTGGATATATATATATATATTCCCACCGGGGAACTTAACGACTTCGGCTGGCAGCCGCACTGGTCGCCTGGGGGGTCAGGGCTTGGATATACTGAATAGGTTCAGCGTCATACGCTTCACACGCCGAGCTGCTGAGCGTCTCGCGTCCGCGATCCAGCGCATGCTCTTCATTCAGCCCCATGCGACGGCGGTACCAGTGCAGTCCTGCGTATCCGAGGACCAGTGTCACAGACAGGAACAGCGAAACCAACGTGAGGCGGCGCAGTGACACTACAGACTTGTGTGGGAGGATGGATTGCCTCATAACAAGAGGTAAAGTACTACCAAACATATCGTCTTGAATGACATCACGAGACTTGTCAAACACACACACGACGCTTCCGCTGAAGCCCAGACGCCGCAGGTCCCCGACATCGCGGCACGTCGACGCGACCATTTGAGCGGATTGCGGATCCAACAAGTACGACACGTTAATACCCGACAAAAGGGTATATGTGGCAACGTCGAAATCGGCCATGTAGATCGGGTTATTCGATACATCCCTATATATATATATAAATATGTTGAGATTGTAGTAAACAGTGGAGAGTTTGGTACGATGTACACAACTACAATAGCAAAAAGCTACATGGAAATCAATTGAGAAACATAAAGTACAATATTGAGGATAGGATGATCGATACTAGTATAATACAGGTAGAGACGTACAAACTTCGAAGGGACGGGGGAAACACGGGCTTGTTGATGTACGACACGCGGTTGGAACTGAAGTTTCTAGCATCCCCACAACAAATAAGTATATGTCAAGCATTCCATTGCTTGAGAAGAATAGGGAGGATCCATATTGGAATCATGAATACGTGGACATCTGTGGCTGCTATACGTTGTGCGTACAATGAAGTCAACTTGACAAATCTGGCCCAGTTGATGCTAAGCTGGTTGATGGAGTTACGACTCACGTCCCTGGAAGCATGTTGTGAATGCAGGCATAACTTGTGGGATGGAATTGCTCACAAGTGCCGAAGGGTGGCAGGTAGCGAGATCACGGTGAACGATGTGACTTGACCTCCGCTCAAGTTGCTACATGCAAGATGCAGTTGACATAGCCCCCCAAAGGATACCCATATACGTACATGCTTTCAAGGGCAGAATCGCCAAGGTTGATGGTAGCCAGGTTATTCCCAGAGAGATCGCTACGCACAACGACGTGTGAAGATCCAAAAGATAGATATGGCATAGTCTACATCGAGATGAGCCCGCGTGGCACAGACATGACGCTTGTGATGTTCTGGTTTCGCAGGTCCAAGTGCGTTCCATTGTACTGCACCACCTTGATGGCCCCATCAAGACGTTGCAAGCACGCCACCGACGATGACGTGGCGTTAGCTGGTTGTCTCATTAGTCCTGAGCATGCGGACAGCGAGAACGAGTCGCCGTACACACTGGCAATGCCGGCGAGGAGCACGACGAGAAGCATGAATTTCATTTGGCTGATGCGATTATGGGTTATACCTTCCCTAGACTGGCATATCAGTGATCTGATTGGTTCAATTGAACCAATCACAGGATTGTGTAGCCTAATCTGAACTTCGCGAAGAATATTTCGAAGTAAGTTCCAATTCCCGAATACTATTATATACTACGTAGTACTTCAGTGTAGTATGTATTGCTTCGAAGTATTATCCAAATTTCAAGTGTCACACACGCAATTGGCTTCGACGATGTTCGCTGAAATATTCTTCAAAGAGCTTCTTCAACCTGACTGACTGTTCAGGCCACTTGTACTCTCCATTGCTCAAGGGTTGAGAGACATCAACACTGGCTACGTCTTACTACGGTACTACTAGTACATAGTACAGCATTTCCGCCTAATACTGCATACTACATATACCTCTTTCATATGGAAATCATTCATTGATTTTGCTTTTTCCAAACCTCGGCCAAAATACTGTTAGATTATTTATTGCCTAGGATTCAGGTACATGTAAGGTGTTCAGAACACTGGTACAGTAGTTTCTTTACAAGACGATGGTCTTGTCTATCCCAAGCCAACCCACCCCTACGAAATACTCGGAGTATCGAGCGCGAAAAATCTACGCAGCTACTGTAGGCATCCCTTGAAGGACAGGACGTTGTTGTTTGCTTCCAACAGCATGCTCCGGAAGACACTGCACTTGTGTGGCGCTATATAGGGTACACTTGACTACGGTATAGGTAACAGTCACTTCTGGAACAATTCCCTCGCTGCAACAGTAGTACACTGGTTACGTAATCATTTTTACCAAGAGCCCCCGGAACCCCTGGACCCCTTGCGCTTACATACAATGCTATTCCCGGGGTTAAGCTGCATCTCAGTGGTTAGCGCTAGCTAACCATTGAGATTCACTTACTAGTACAGTAACCCCTAGCTGACGGGTTGTTTTGAATTTAAACTTGGTTTGACTATGTGCCAGAAATAACGTAGGTTTTGTATGGCAGGAAAATGATTACGTAACTACAGTACAGTACTACTGTTGCAGCGAGGGAATTGCTGGTCATTTCCGTACTGTACGGAATACTGTACCGTTGTACCGGTGCAGGTACATACTCCAGAAGTCTTCCAAAGTACGTACTTCAAGTATACGTCATCGCAAGTACTCGAAGTACTTCTCATTGATAATAAAATATGTTATGGTAATATTCAAAGTAAGTGGTTATTTAGAAGTATATTATAATGAATTAAGAAAAAGAAAATTCTTTATTAAAATTTAATTTTTCTAGAAAACATTTTGTTTTTGATATCTAGTGGTTAAGGCAGTGGTTTGCTAAACCATCAATTATTTTAAATAATTCGTGGGTTCGAATCCCACTTTGTTTGACTTAAAAAAGTAAAGAAAATTAATCTAGTAGTAATTGTCCCTTAGAGAACCACGTTTTATATTTTAACGTTGTGTTAAACTTGATTATAGACACGTTAAAGCCTTAAAACTGAGATTGACGAATACGTTTTTAATGCACTTTCGTTAAACGTCCGTAAACTTCGTAGGGATGCGCGTACAATCATCAAGATAAATCACATTTGGCCAAATGTTGGTCCAGCCCATATATCCGAAAACTTTCTAACAGGAAGTACTAACTTAGTACTTCGAAGTACAAGTAATACTTACAGTTAGTACTAGTAGAGAGTTTTCGGATACCCATTTTTGCGATGAATTTTGAGGTACGAATCTCCAACTCAAAAGTGAAAACCGTCATTTTCAGTTGTGCGTTTTGAAATTAGGAGTTGGAAGCGACAACTTTCCAAGGAGAAATTGTGGGCACGGCAGTACGGGTATCGAACGATTTTGTTTACCTCTGTTTTACATCAATGAGATACACGCCCACAAGCATTACTATAAGCTTCAAGGAATTATACTTATCTTAGCGTTAATAGGATTGACTGGGGGATACAGATGTACAGTATGGTCGGCCAATATCCGGATGAATTTCTATCTTCCTCCGATTTTAAGCTGAGGGCTTGACTGTGAATCTCCAAATCGATTTGAGATATTAGGAACAGTGTTTGTTTGCTAAAAAGGGTAGTTTTCGGTCGTCAGCAATACAGAGTTTAGGTCAGCACTTTTGAGATAGCCATTACGTACTTGTACACAAAGTGGCAGTCGGATACAAGTCTGTTTAATGTTAATTGCCATTTATCACATCTAGATACTGTATGAGGCACAAAACCTCATCCTCTTATTGGTCGGTCAATTCCATGACTACTACGGCAACGACGCCCCGCGTGAGGCGTGAAAAGTTAATGTGGAGTGCACCATAACGTTTTGGGAACAAAAGTGTGATTTCGACCAAGTTGGGGTTTTGTGAAATGACTAGTAGTAATAAATATTTCACCAATCAAAACGTCGCAAGCAGATTTAGCAGTTTCACGTCATGTGCAAAAGATCGATCTTCGTGTTGGACATGCGGCATGCTATGACCAGCGCGTGGCTTGTCATTGCGTGCGTCTCCGGGGCTACCTTGGGGCCTTGTGCAAGGAACAGCAGCGTCATGGACAGGATCCATGCACAGTCGACCCTTTGCCTGACCTACGAGGGGAACAATGAGACAGTCATGGTCGACCCAACCAACAGCTCCATTTGGAATTTCTCTGCTATGCACATCGATGTGGTCGAAGCCTTGCCAGTGACCGCAGATATCGTGTACGTTGGCATGCGTGGCTACGCCCTCACAAACGTTAACCTTTACTGGAGTACGTAGTGATATGTCATTCAACAAGATTCAGGCTTTGCCCATACCTACCTTCAACGCCAGCATCCGAAACCTGTCAGCCCCATTCATTCGATTTGGCCATGGCATCACATGTACATGCTGTAGGAATTTGAGCTACAACAACATCAACACCACGACAAGCCTAGCCATTCCAGCAAATGTCACCGTCTTGTAACGATCAAGTCCAATTCATTTCAATAGCTCATCTCCCTTGTAGAGACCTCAGCTTCAACTTCTTGGAAGGCTGTTCATGGCTGGCACCGCCTCTGCAGCTAACTAGCTTGTACTGTACATGAATCAAAATATTGTCCATATTTTGCATTTGTAGCCAAACCATTGGCGTAGGTACCTGCGAGGCAATAATCTGCGGCACACTGCCTTAGACGCCTCTACGTTGCCACCGCTCCTTGTGTTCTTGTAACGCGGCACACTATCCACTACGTTGTTCCGTGATGCGCTTCTATGTGTGTGTATCGTAGAGATCTCCGTGACAACCCCCACTTGGTTCTCACCCTGGACAACTCAACGTTGGCTCGGGTGACTGGGGCAAATTTCACGCTGCGCCTCCCAAATGCACAACTCACCAGCACTTCTACCTATTGCGCCAACGGCACTCGTCCAGTGGTTGTGCACAACACGATGATGTGTGTCATGAATGAGTCCAACTCGAACAGTCTCACCTCCACCAAAAGTACGTACGATTTCAGTTGAGATGGGGACTGTATCTTCAAAATTGACGGCGTAGACTACACGCCCATGTACATGCTCGTCGCCGTGTGCACGGTGTTCTTTGCGTTGGTCGCCATTCGGTTTTCCCATTGCTCGGCCTACGACGACTTGCCACGTGAGCAACGAATGGCAACACCCGCCTCGAATTCCATGGTCCTGCCCTAGGAGTGTCTAGTAGTACAATTTTTGCTATGAACCGAACAGGATAAAAATTTGTTCCCGTGAGCTTGTCGTGGTATCTTGTGATGCTAGCATAATGCGATTGAATATCATACTATACGTATAAACTAATAGTACAATAATTGTCCAAGTCGAACGATAGCAAAGATATTATTACATCCACATTGGCTACATATTGCCCTTCGCATTTCAGGTCGTTGTAGGCGTAATGATGGCGCCATTACAAGGACACTTGGAAACTCGTGACCGTGAAAGCAGCGACAACAACGTATTGGAGATTCGGTACGAATATCCAGACCCCCTGTCGCCATCCGAATTGGCACCAATCTTTCCCATTGGTCAATCTGAAATTACTTCTGTATCTACTCCGAGTATTCGAAATGAAGAAGGTATAAAAAGCCAATCAGATGTCCCGGCTCTATTTGCGTTCGATTGATCGAACCATAACGTTAGTAGAAAATCGAGTTAGGTGTACAATTCTCAATTGTCCATATGTACGCCTATTGCACGGAATACGTCAACGATACAAAGCCAGCTATTTCCACAGCGACGACGACCAACGACGAGAGTTTCATCGACAATAGCAGTGATGTGGCCTGGCGTTTCTTGTTGGGTTGTGTGATTCCAAACGCCCCAACGCCGTCCCAGATGTCATCGCGGAACAGCGACGACGAAATGAAGTCAAACGCGTACATTTCCCTGTCCCATGGGGCGACCCTGCCTGGGACCGTCGACCACGTGTGCCCCAGATGTCCGACCGACGTCGCCAGCATCTGCAGCCAAAACAAATCGGCGTCAAGGAGTGCCTGCCGGGGGTCGTCCTTGGCCACGGCCTTCTTTGCAGCGCGGATGTTGGAGGTGAACCGAAGCAGCGCCAAGATGTCGTATTTCACGTTGGCCTCGGGCACAAACTGCACATTCACCATCGCGTGCGCGAGTTGCTGAGAGGGTGATGCGGTAGGCCCTTTGTCGTTTGCATTTTTGGCCTGGCTGACTTGAAAGTGCCGCAACGCACTGTTGATCGGCACCAGAGCTGTGTCGACAAACAAGTTGGAATACAAAACCCACCCGATCGTGCCGAAGGACTGGATCACGACCAGGTAGTACTTGTAAGTCGGATGGTACTCAGCGTAGCCAAAGAAACAGTAAAAGAGCACGACGACAGCCATGAACCCGACCTTGGCTTGGGTTGCAGGGTGGTCGAACGACCGAGCCTTGAAGTTCACAGCGACTTTGTGCTCCCACAGTCGGTAATACAGGTACACGCGGCAAGGGTACTCGTGGAGCAGGACGATGACAACAACTGCAAGACAAAGGGGCAAAAGTAACGCCAGCATCAACACTGCGACGTTGACCTGGGTGTTGTCTGGCACCTTGGCGATCACTGTCGTGAAGGCCACGAAAGTCGAGTACAACACGGAGGCCATCGCGAGGTGGTAGGGGAAAATGATCGACTTGTGAAAGTCCCACATCGACGCCTCTGGCGTTGCAACCCCGATGAGGGGGCGCTGCTCGAACGGCAGTTCGCTAGGCGTGAACACGTTGTTATTGCCAACAAAGCCGACAAAGGAAGGGGAATGCACGACCCCCACGAGTTCTGCTCGCACCACAGGATTTGGAATCCACGTCGCCACCTGTGCGTCAAAGCGCTGCACCATTTCTGGCGAACACCACAATTTTGTAACTGGTGCTGGTGGATTCTGTCCAGTCGTGGGATCGGGAGGCGCGCAGTCGGCGGGCGCATCAAGAGTAACTCCTACGTCGGTGGGGGTCACGATTGAATCCATATCCAAACACACAAACAGGAGAAGGCAAGACCAAAACTGACGAAGCCATCGGCACGTTATCACAATTGTAGCGACGGGTTCGAGATGGAAATAAAATCAAGATGGCGGACCTCGTATGTGCTAAAAATATCAGGAGGGGGCGGGGTACTTCAGACCAGAAAGAGACATGGTAGGGTTTCGTACTTGTGAAGGACCCCTTACTAGTACGTTCCCTTGTCCTTAACTTGTCGTAATGAGTTATTAGCCGGTACGACATGACAAGGGTCAATCATTCGTAGCAACAAGTAACGTCCAAATCGTTTGGAGGCACTTTACAGGTAGACGACACGCGTGGGTGAATTGAGGACAATAGAGAGGATTCGCAACTCATCTCTATCAACAAGGTCCACACGTCGAATGGCTAACAGTAGGGTGTTTATGAAGTCGACCTTGCGGAGAGTAAAGATCTCGCCTAGTGTTGTGCCCATCTCCTCCCCACCACCACACTCAATCGTCTAATGTAGCATATACATACGACTATCAAATATCGGCTAGCGCACCCGGCTACAATACTGTACACCCGAGAACACTTGAGTGGATCACTCATTGTTGTCTGCGCAGGGGAAGCCACGCGCGCCTAAAATTTGTCATCAACGATGTACTGCGAAACGGCCACCATATCTCTGCTGTAGAAGTGCTACGATGAAAGCTGCAGCCCTGAAATGGTAGCTATCACCAACACTTTGTCACATCATAGCGCGTTGATTTCGTTCAATAGTGTATGAAATCCACTTCAACGTTAGGTCGAATAAAAAACACGAAATATACAAAGCCACGCAGTCATCTTCTCTTTTCTCGCCAGTACAGTTTATTGAACCCTCGAGTTCTCATTGCCATAACAACCGGTACCAAATATAAACTCGAAGTAGCTCACAGCCAGTTTGCATTGGGTGTTTGCTCAATCATGTTTTGAACTGCATCCAGTAGAGGCTGTTGAAATTATCCCTTGTCAGCGCTAACTTCGCGGTATTTCTGGCCCTGGTTAATCACCCGGGAGTGTCATCGGTGAGAATTCTAGGCTTTCTCCGCTATCATCAACTTACATGCGAGGAAGATGGGGGTAAATCCGTTGAAGTACAAATGCGATTGTTCGGTTAGTACAAAGATGTTAGGGGTAGTCAGCTAGGCTACCTGTACAGTATAGGTGTACTGTAGCCATCACCTTCAAGGCCATAGAGTCGACTGCATATTAAAGCGTGAGCTGTAAGAGGGACACTGTAGACAACTCCGTCAGCCACGTATTGATACTGTAGGTTTAATTGCAATCTGTAGCCATGAAACTGGTGTAGCTACAGCTAAAAACTGAAGGGGAGACATGTCGCGCTTGCATTTAGCCAACGGATTTACTCCTCGCATGTTGCATAGACTCAGCTTGACATCGCGCATTCAGAAACTACACTTTCATCATTCTTGAAAATTCCATGTCGTCGTAGCAATCCGTCACATCCAAGTTAATGTTAGCCGTGTTGTTGGTGTCCCCAGGTTGCTTTGCTGTGACCGCCGACGACCAAGACATCACACATGATCCGTTCACAATGTTCTACGTCGCGGGGGGATTTCTGTTGGCATCTCTTTCCATTTGTGCAATTCATCGCCATTGCTTCCCAGTGCCTACATTGTTCAATTATGACACGGACTCGAGTTCGTGGGGAGGCAGCAGCTCAACAACTACGAACCGCGCGACTCTTATGACGCCTGTTTGACCTGTCCAGTTGGAGTTGCAACGCGCTCGCGCCCTTGTTCCCAAGACCTGCTGTGGGTGGAGTCAAATGTGTAAAAACAACATGGAAACTGACCAATCAGCCGAACTACGTAGTATATATTACAGTAATACCTCTAACATTATTAAATTTACTTCGAAGTACTTCGAATAAGCTTAACGTTACAGCAAATATTGGCATTCTACGTTGGGGTCCTCGCTCCCACACAGCTTTATAGTACGAGTAACCTTAAAAGTCTGGAGTTGGGGTAGAGCCAAGAACCTCAAAGTTATAACGTCGTATTCTTCATTTCGTTTTTGCGAATGTGCTCCTTAATTTTTTATGGCAATGTGGATACGGATACAATCGTGCACCAAACTCGGTCACGTTCAACAACGAAAAATCATTCACAAACACTCTCCACCAAAAAGCATGTCAAACTCACTTGTCCATTTGACCCATGGCTGCGCTTCTCGCAAATTTGGCGGCGGGGGCATCCTTGAGCAGCCATGCTGCGTTCATGGATATCAATAATGTCGCCACTTCAAAGACCAAGGCAATGGTTTCCGACATGGTACGACTACCTACCATCGCAATGCACATCCATCGCACTGACAGCATCACCCTTTGAGAATCAATGACCTACTTGGCCAAATGAATCATATCGAAGTCGGGCACGTAGATACGACTACTAGTCCAACAATCATAGCCAAAAAACCATCAACACGACGCTCGTCGACGACCATGCCAGCCACACTTAAACCTGGTGGCCAACCTCGTGGAAAGGGGGCGACCGCTGTGGAACGCCTCTCAATTCCGCATGTTTGTCGCCAAATTTGCAAGAAGTGCATGTGAACCACAACAGCACCAGAATCTCAAAATTATATGGCTTAGATTCGACGCATACTGTATTGCAAACGCCATTTTGTTTCCCCAGCCCATCAACACGGGTGTTAACGTCAAGCTGGCCGCGACACCCTAGCTGGGGTATATCACGGGTGTATAGCCTCATGCTTGAGGTGATTCACCACAAGCATTGGCCTCGCATGCTTTCGAGAGTTTCAACGAAGACCCAGATGAAATGTCTGCTACGGGGACTGACTGCATCCGGGTCACGCAAAGCCAGCGGGTGGTCGCCTGTTTCAAGCACTTCATCACGTACTCGACCGTGTTATAATCCAAGGCCGAGATGAAGCCGATTGTTTGCGAGTCGAAGGCCTTGGGCCAGTCCACCGTATTATGTTGGTACAGTACTGGAGGGATGTACTGTAGTGGGCATCGCAGGAGCAAAGGAAATCTAGGCCGCATGGTACATCACACCCTGTATGCGCATTAGGGTCGGTCAAATGGATCCTGCTATGGTACAGGCATGTACTAATTGTGACAGGGCTTCCACGAGAAGATTTGAATATACTACACTAGGTAGTAGTAGTAGGCTGCAGCACAGCGGTCCTTCCACAGGGAATGGTTCCCGGAGACTACCGGTACAGTACTGCAATGAACCTAACATCACGATACTGTACCAGGTAACGTTATCAACTTGACTGATGACTGGTCTATGTACTAGTAAACGTTATCAACTTGACTGATGACTGGTCTATGTACATTCCCTGGGTTAGGTAGGGTAACAAGATTACACCGGAGAAGGACGTTCAATCTGTGGGGCTTGGACTACACCAAAGGATTCCTTCACTGACCAGGTAGAACTTCATTCTTGGCGACGATTCATGCAAGTTCAATGGCGTATCCAGACCAGATTCACTGCCATGTTGACATTTTATGGTTTCCCCATCTATAGATCGCATCCAGTTTGAATGCAAGTTCAAGTCGTTGTCACTTGAACATCCATCCACCCAATAGGCATACGTACTACAGTGTAGTACTAGTAGTAATGTAGTACTAGTACTACCGGTAGTAATAGTACAGTACTGCACCAGCAGCCACCAATCATTGGTGATGCGACTTTGTCACTGACGTCAAAGCGTCGATCGTACCGGTAGTACTAAAGCTGCTTGACAGTGATAGTGCACGAAAGCCGAAAGGTCATGCTATGCACTAACAGTTTGTACTAGTAGCACTGAGTACTATTAATAGTAGAGTTGCAGTCATTGACGTACGTGCGAGGTTGAACACTGGATAAGCTCCCCATCTCCTGAAAACGAACATTTCATTCACTTTCCACTTCAATTGCGTCAAAAGTACTTTTGCCAGGGAACAGTGCACTTGTGCAAGTTCAAACCATAATCACGGCGAGCTCCAATACTGTAAGTCAAGTGTCCATTCTGAATGGCAACACGATTGCTAGCTACTGTACTTCGAACTACTCCACTATGCACTGTATTAGCAACCCTAACTCTACTGTACAGTACTGTCCTTTACTACTCACTGTACGTATTAGTATCAATACTGAGCTTACGTAGTAATTACCTTACTAGTTAGCATCATTTGCAATAACTACTATAGTACTATTAATATTTATTAGTACAGTACACTGTATAGTTGTAGCATTCTATTCCTCTAAATCGTGCGGAAACTATGAATGCATGAACAGAGTTCTATCCCTGGGCTTGCATTTTGTACGCCGTGGCATCGTTGACCACGAATCGCAATACAAAATACGTGACACCGCCGATGAGAAAGCCGACGCCTGTATCAATCGCAAGGGATGCGGCGGCCGTGACCAGCAACACGACCACGTCGCCCTTGTTCTTTTGCGTGTCCAAATCCAACCCGACTATCGACAAGTGAACACCAGCAAACATGACGAGCACGCCGATGACGCAGCTGGGGAAGATACCATCCTGTAGCAGCTGCACAAGGGTCGACCCGAGCAGCAGCGCCACGGTGACCTTGATCAGCCCCAGAAACATCATCGCGACGTTGCTCCTCGCGCCAAACGCGTGTTGAGACGCGAGGCCTCCGGCGCCATGACACATGGGCAGCATGCCAAACCCGCTAAAGAGCAAGTTCCCAAATCCCAAACTGAAGCAAATGCGTTTGGAGGACGCCACGGGGCGGGGTTTGGTCGGGAACAGGTCGGCCGCGAGTTGTTCGAGGGCAATCACGCTGTTGAGCAACGTGAGCGGCAACTGCGGCAATACCATATGAAGGAATCCGTTTTTAAAGTCGTCGGCACGGGGGAACGGCGGCATGTGAGAAAAGTCTGGCCCCCACACCAACGCGGGTAGTTTGAGTCGGTCTTGCTCGGTGTTGTAGCGCACGGCGGCGACGATGACGCCGTACGCGAAGATGACAAGCGCAGTGGGCACCTTTTTGTTGTGCATGAAGCCAAGGCAAAGCAGCACCATCACGATGGACACGACAATGCTGTCGGCACCCCACCACGTGAGGTCGGTGGCGCTGCGCTTCACGACAAGCGCGAGCGTAGCGTTGTTCACAGACAGCGTCGACGAGTGGACATACGCTTGCTTGACGCCGCTCTGAAGCAGCGAGAGGCCGACGCCGAGCTGGACACCGCGCACGAGCGAGAATGGCACGTACTTGGCCACCAACGTGACCGCGTTCGTAATGGCCAAACCAAACAAAATCAACCCGATCACAAGCCCCGAGGCTGCGATCTCTGCTTGCGAGTACTTTTCGGCAATTGCGATCGCGCTGATTGTCTTCATCGGTTGTACTGGAATCGGCACTTCGAAATACGTTGACAACGACATCGTAAACAGACCTGCATGCATGCATCGATTGAGAGAGAGAGATGCGCGTCCCATACCATTGGTTATGACGGTACCTGCAAAGAAAAGAGTTGGGCCGAACGCGATTTGCTTTGTCACGGACAACGCCGTGACAAGTGGAAGGAACGTGCCGAGGTCGCCCAACGACCCCGAGCACTCTTGGAGCGTCAAGTACTGCTTCGCTTCTCGCTGCCATTGGGGACGAAGGACCACAAAGATGCGCTGCAGGAAGGATAGCTTGGGATACGACACTTCAACCCCAACCAGGTCCAGTTCCTCCTCGTCAGCCCCTTGTTCGCGATACGTTGATTGCATCGTCGTCCGTCGTGAAACGAACGAATTGAGGCCAGACTTATGCCTTGATTGACAAATTATCCGAAATGACTCGTAAATACACCTTGTTTTGTAATAGCCTCTTACAAATAATATGCAATCGTGGATATCGTTATTAGCAATATCGTATTTATAGGAGCACTAACAGTAAGCTTACACTTGTATTAATACGAATATAATTTGCTCCGGGCGGTGTGCCCATTACATTTGAGATGTGGCCGTCGCGTGCCAGTTATACTACGTAGTATTGGACTGTTGCTTCTAACAATCAGTGCCAATCCGACAGTAACTATTATTGCAGATTGCAGGTCACACTGCAGAATAGAAAAATATTTGATTTGTCGACTAATACCAGTAGTATACTGTAACCCCGAAACCCCTGACGTTACAATTGGCCACAGTTCTGCCGGTTCTGACAACTACGGTACAGTACTGTACTAGTACAGAAGTCTCAGGCACCTAACAGTCCACAGTCGCCCGTCACTCTTGACAGAATCTGGCTCTCGAGCAAGAAATCAACTCTCCAATACTTACTTTACCACTCACTTCCTTGTGACTGTGATTTTGCAAGCGTTGTTCGCCACGAACACTCAAGTCATCACGACGACAACCCCATCATATACTTCGAAGTAAATTGCATCGCGTGAACATATCTCAGTGTGTTGTGAAGCGTGCCGTGAAGTGCGCCGTGAGGTTCGGCACGATGGTGTTGTTTTAGTTGAACTCCTACTGTCTTGGTTTGAACTTGTGATTTGTATGATGACCTGTGGATAACTCATGTGTTTCACGAATCTATCAGTCACGACACTCCAATCACTGTGGAGTGTCGAAACCTTTGCTCGCTCGGGGGCCGACCAAATCAAACATGAATCACTGAGCCAGTTTTGGAGGAACCCTCCATGTTCACTGTCAACTGCAAAATCAATCTGTATGCATCCCCACGTGACGCGCCTCTGCTATGTCCGGAAACCGTATCCGGATTCCTGGGAATAGTAGGACAATCATGTTTCTTGTCGCACGCCATGGGTGGCATACAAGCGCGAAGAGAAACCATCATCCTATTCTTTGTATTGAATTGCTTGGCTTATTGAACCTGCGTAGGACGGATCGATCGACTCTTGGAGCGATCAAGGTGGGGTTTACATCACCACGGTGCGATGCATACAACGGCGTTAGCGCGTACTGGATGGCCCAGCCATTCTATCTTGAAAAACATTTGTCTTACGTTGATTCTACTTCGGTAGAAGAGGTCACAGCAAAGAGAACAATGTAGATTTGGTTTGTACTACCGGTACATGATGGGCTCGTAAGAGTGAGAAAAGTCCTACGCGTTGGCATTACTTCTCTTCTAGTATTCCACAAACATCTACTAAACGCCGTGTTGAGTTTATGCAAGTGTCGCGGTGTGTCCAGCACGACCCACTTTGTCATGGGCGCATAGAAGGAAGGTCGTGAAGTGTGACCTTGTCCGACGGCCTATGTCAAGTTCTTATGTTCGTTGGTGAATCACCGATCTGGCCATCTCCGTCCTAACTACGTATCGTCTACCCGAACGTGGATTTGCAATGCAGTCACATATGTGGGTTCCGAAGGGCAACGTATGTCGCCGAGTGATTGGGTTGGCACGAAATCAGCCAATCACAGGGCGTTGGTGGACCACAGTGGAACAATTATGGCGTCGATTGGGGCTGACGGGCAGGTTCTTTGGTGGCCAGTACTAGTACGTGTGACCTGCCCCAGCTGTTGGTCCGACTCGTTCGGCCCTCGAATCTGTCATTCATTTCTCATTCCGTCGCGAAGGCCTCGCAGCAGCAGCAGGTGTCTCGCTGTCTCTGCGCGCACCTTGTCCGTCATACACATCACGACCCACCACCTTGCTGGGGCACATGAAACACATCGTCGCGTCTGTCACAGCCTGCATCGGCGCCACAGCGTCGCACCGTGAAAAGTACGTCGTGTGTGTCACCGTCCAGCACAAACTGCCAGCCACGCTTTGGTACACATACAAGCTCCACGGGGACTTTGTCCAGCTGTTCCATGACCTTGTGGACCTGGCTGCCCACACCAGTTGTGCGCAAGAGTGCAGCGTCGGGTGCGCCCTGGCGTCGCTCGCTGGTCTGCTGGACCCGCTGGCCACCACCAAACTCGACAACTTGAACGCGTTCGTCCAGAAAATCGCTGGCATGACGCGGTCGTCGTCCGAGCACGCCGACGTGTGTCTGCTTCGCGCGAAGGTCGACGCAGCGCTCAAAGCGTTCTTGGAATGGCGGGAAGTCGATGCTTCGGGCCGCGGCGGCCTCAAACGCCAACTCAGTCTGCCGTCGCTGCTCATTGCGTACAACAACCAACAGCCAGACTGCTTGGTGATGAATCAGCCCTCCAAGTTTGGCGGGTCGCACAGCTATCCCGTCAAAATCACCAAGTTGGACTCGACCGCAGTCCTCCCGACGGCGCAGACACCGTTGGGCGTCCTGCGCAAGTTCCGTGTCATGGAGGCGACTTCGAGCACCACGACCCAGTCCAAGTTCCCGTCCCCTACCATCAGCGCTACGACCTGCAGCAATCAACTGTTTCAGCGGAAAGCCATGCTCAACGGTGGCCAGCCGTCGGCCGTACGCGGCATGCAAGGCCGTCGACGGGTGTTTACCGAAGTCAATTTTGACGGCATGTAAACAAACTGCAAAGACCCTTAATTTATAACAAGACGTATTTAACTTTGCACCATCATTTTAAATCATTTTGTCAAGATTAATTTAAGCGGACCAAAGTAGTGTACCCTGGGAAGTACGTAGAGAGGAGACGACTAACGTTACGACGAGGTTTCGTGGCTTGACCTGATCAAGTAACTTACTAGTATGCATGGAGTACAGTACTGGATTCGTTGCAAACCAACCCACGTATGTGCTAGGGGTTTTCATGATTATTAATAGTAGTTCATGTTTTCGGAATTTCTTTGGCAGGGTACAAATCTCCAAGCAAATATTTGGAGTATGTTTGCACTGTAGTATGCACCGACGACGTTCGTTCTTCCAGAGGTGGTACAGTATCGATTTGTGCAATAACATTACTGTAATTAAATTGTTTGTGAGCTTAATTCAAAGGCGATACTGTATACTGTAGTAGGTAGTACTAGTTCACGTTAGATGGCTTCGTCAAGCGTGGAGCGTCGGGTATGTAGCATTGGCGATTTCCTCGGGCCGTGTGATTTCAAGCAATTTCATTCGCGGGCACTGTAGGTCCAATACACTAATCAGCATGGTGTCGGTCTACAACATACACCAGTAACGTTACAGTAGTAGTGGCCAAATTGACTTGGCGGTCACTTTACCATATTGGGGGCATACAACAACGTCGCACGGGTGCCTTGAGTTGAAAGAGATTGTGTCATGTGGCAAACCTGAGATGGCTCAGATCTGTAGACGCCCCTCTCATCATACTAGTACGACCTGAGCCGAGGGCAACATGATGTTATCCGCAGTGTTTCGAGACTGTCATGCCTGACGTCAGAATCCACGTATCAGCGATATGTGGTGGAATGACCAATGCCCAATGTTACATAACTTAATATTATGCAGTACATTTAGTAGTACATTTTGTTAGGCTCGTCGTGAACCACTCGCTTGCAACTATGGACTGCCAGTGTTGTTTTGTCATTTCGCTTAAGACGGGGATACTGTATATCGAACTCGTGGCAGCTTGTGGCGTCGCCAAATAAACAGGACCATGCGGGGGCTGGTTCGAACAATTCATTGGACCACTGTACCCCCCACGGATTTGTAGAGTGGGTACATGACCGAGGGGTTGTGTGGTGACGAGGGGTGCGTGTAACAGCTTAATGTTTCCATAACAAGGCCTCATTTCAATACCGTAGAGCTCTACTAAGCTTACTAATACAGTCCACGTGAGCCTGTGTATGGAATGGTTTGCATGCTATGCTAAGGGGCGAAGCCGCTGATGTCCACAAGCACTTTTAGACCCAACCTTACCCCATGTACAACTCTTGTGGAAGAAAGGGGGCCTGGGGTGTAAAGTATTCCTTGGATTAGTTTACACCTGCGGGACTTTGCTTCGGGAAATCCAAGGATTGTCGTCATCGTAACTGTTGGGGGGGGTAGCTTCATTATGAAATCGACTCATGTGCAATATGGAGGTGTTTTTGTCTACCAAAACGCAATCGCAAATCAGACCCATTGTGTCCCTAGCGCAGTCTACATAACGTTAACTCCTATGCCCCCCTCCATATTATATGGGGGAGTCAATATACGATTCCTGGAACTACTAACGTCACCGGTAGTTTCCTGACCTTTGAGGGTAATCCATTGCCCCTGATACGAAATATGATGAGGGGGTCGACAGAAGGGGCTAGTGGGTCGACCAAAAGACAAGTTTCGGAGTTTCCCCGAAACCCCGAAACTACACTGAAGCTACTTCTGCCCATTCTGAGGTCCTTCCTCTGTGGCAAAATGTCCACGTGATGGGCTCCCGACAAGCCCCTACGTCACTTCGCTTGACTGCTTTATTTGTTTGCTCCTCAAGGTGCCCCCCCAGGGTGGGAAGCGCACTGCTGCGACACGAGCTCTGAATTCTACTCAAATATCTCGTTAAATCAATCAAATCTAACGTTAGAGATCATTGACGTTTCCTTCATAAAGCACCCGATGCACTACTTCATCCACCAACTCTACAGTCGTTTTGAACCATTGGCATATTTTCAGAACTTTTATCCTTTACTAGTATTGCATGTCGTTGCGTATGTACCGCATCTACGAGCCCCATTCGAAGGCAGCGATAGTTTGAGTTTGTATATTGTCGACGACCACTAACTAGTAGTACTAACATTAGTACTATTAATACGTAGTACTATTAATACTACCAGTAATACTATTAATACGTACTCAAATAAATAAAAATAGTATTAATATTAATAGTATGTATTAATAGTACATTCATTAATACTACTCCGGAATATTAATACTATGTGTAAGTTAGTACTACTAGTACGTACTACAGTACAGCCTGGGCAATCTTTAACAAATCAAATGTTGACGAGGGGTGTGGTCACCACGAGAATTTGTTTTGTCCAATCGCAGGGGGTCGTTTTCCCGACAAATGCGCAATCAAAATTTCCGGATAAAAATCCTGCCTTGGAATTTGTATGCACGTGTCAACGCGACCTGTGCACTAGAAAAGGCGCAAACGAAAACGGCGACGCCCAGAGCCATTTTCGAATTTGACATGTCTGGTCCCATCCGTGTCCTGACCGAGCGCGTGATGAGCCGCGGCTTCGAGCCGACCGTGACCCGCCTCCTCGACCAAATGCAGTCCGTGGTGCGCAAGCAGCCGGGGTTCATTTCGGTGGAAACGTGGGGCGACATCCAAGATCACCACAACCACGTGACGCTGTCGCAGTGGCGAACCCAACACGAGTACAAGGCGTGGGAGGAGAGTGTGGAGTACAAGACGCTCAGGGCGTCGCTGGTGGAAGTGTTGGATACGCCCACGGAGCGCACGCGCATCTTTCAATCCCCCAAGGACGAAATGTTCTTGCTTTGAACAATTAACTGTTAATTATTGTGAAGTTACGTGTGAACCCAAATTGTTCGTGTGCAGCAACCTTTTAGAATGAAATTATCACCGTTTAACAGTGTAAAACGTAATTGTGGGAAAATGATGTGCGCGTTAAACGGTAAAACATCGAAGAGTTGTGCATAATTCAATAGTCCCCACAGGGAAGAATTTGGCCGAACTACAATTCTCATGGGCGGGAGGTGGTGTACGTCGGGGTGAGATGGCTCTGTCATTGCCTGGAACAGCGGTAAAACGTTAGTTGTAATGGGACTCTGCTGTGAAGAGCAGATATAACCGTCTGTCTGCTGCTGTAAATGCTATCATTATTACCCTGCCAAATTGAATACTCTCTTGACCAATCACAAGGAAGGCGTCACATAATGGAACTAAATTGCTACATAAACAATCTCATACAGAGTACATTACAGTGGCTGTCTATTTATATCTGCCCGCCCATCATCCTTCGAGTCGATAGAAGTGTCGAAGGTGTAGTCGATATCTGTCGAAAGAACCATGGCTCATCCAGGTCCTGTGGACGACCCCCGCCGCATAAAGAGGAGCTTCAGCAAGCCAGAGCAAGTGAACCATACGGACCTCTTGGTCGGCGGAGTGCTCTTCCGTGTGCCGGCGGAATTTGTCATCATCAGTCAGCGCCACCGGAAAGCCATCGATCCCAGCACGTTCCTCGGCCCACCGATGGTGTCGCGTCGATCCAGAGCATGCAGCAGTGGCGACTTGTACACATTCAAGTCGCCATCGCAGCCCACCCCGTCGCCGCACCACCGTCCGTCGACCCCCGACGACGCTGCTGTTTCTCGTGCTCGGTCGTCGCTGCCCACAGTGCAAGAACTGCGTGATTTCTCGTCGTCGCTGGATGCCCACCTGTGTCCCATGTGCAGCGCCCTCAACTGCACGTGCGAAGGACCTGCGAAGGCGGCGGCTCCTGGGTCCCCACTGAGCAGGCGATCGGTGTCGGCATCGCATGGACTCAACTTCCTCACGCCAAGAGAACAAGCGATGCACGGGCGGTACCTCATCCGCGAGTCGTTTGCCAACGGGCAGTACGGACAGGTATACCCTTGAAGCACTTAACAACGATGCCCTTTGAGACTTGGCGCCGGTCGTTCTAACGTTAGGTCCACAATGGCGAAGTCATGGCTTCCCACGACAGCATCGTGGTCAAGGTCATCCCCAAGTTTATATTGCAATCCCCCGATGAAAAGCAGTCGGTTATTCGCGAGCAAGTGATTCACAAGAGCTGCCGCCATCCCCATATCATTCGACTCATCGATACGTACCAGGACGACGTACGTACAGTCACACCAGTCATTGTTATTATTGTATTATTTTTGTATTTTTACACATCAAGTCTTTTTAGGCCACAACATACACTATATATATATATTTGTTCATACTACCAGGATTAATATATTCACTCGTCCGTAATACAGGAAGCGCACTACTTGATATTGGAACGTGCGGCGAACGGCAGTATGGAGCACCGCATTGGCCAATCAGGAATCGTAGAAACCGACGCCAAGCAACTGTTTCGGCAACTGCTCCTCGCCTTGGACTACTTGCACAGCAACTGCATTGTCCACCACGACTTAAAACCCCACAATTTGCTGTTGGATGCGGCGGGACAGCTCAAAGTGTGCGATTTTGGGGCCGCCCGGGCCTACAACAAGCACGACGCCGGCCTGCCGTTCTCTGGGATCTACGGCACCGTGGGTTATATTGGTACTATATGTCACTATTCTCGTGGTCACTTTTATGTGTGTTATACGACATATGGATGGTCACTAATTGCAATGGCTGTAGCGCCGGAACTGCTCCAGGGTGTGCCGTTGTACACGACCGCCGTCGACATGTTTAGTGTCGGGCTGATTTTGTTTGAGGTAGTGTTTGATAATATATATACAGGGATATATATATCATGGGCTGTATGCATGGTGCATGCATTCATATTGGACGGTAGATGCTGTTTGCGTATGCGGCGTTCTACCCCCCCAGCGCGTGCCTGCAAGACGACGTCGAGTTCCCAACCCCACGACCGAGTCAAAAGCACAAGCCAATCGTGTCGGCGGACGCCAAGCGGCTGATCCAAGCGCTGCTGCAACGAGACCCTGTTAGCCGCGTCACGGCCGCCGCTGCGTTGCGCCATCCGTGGTTCCATAACAATAAGACTGACCCATGAACGAACACTCTACACGAACGTACTCGGTCTTATGCACGTTTTCAATAGCATCGGCCAGTGTACGGTAAACATTTGGATTAGGTTTTATACATGAAGTAGTGACCACCCACATATGTACAATATAGTATCACAAACATGACGTTTCACGTGGGCGGGAGTTCATTTTGTTTGGACTATTTAACACACGCATCCTATGAGAAACCCTTCATCCATCCCTTATGGACGAGTAGTACGTACGTCGAAGTAGTATATATACTCGATATATATATATATATATGGTGATCGACGAGAGGTTCCTGCTGCTGCTATTGCTGCTGTTATTGCTCCAATACTGCTATGGATATAACAGTCTGATTGTGTCCATATCTAGTCGTTGTAATAGGTCGTTCTCGAAGTCAAGAAGCCATCGGTCCCGCCGTTTCGGGTGATCACCAAGTGGCCGACGATAGTTACGACGCCACACCACCGCACGAGTGGGTACTGGTACAACATCATAAAGCACAGCGTGCAGAGAAGGATCCAGTACGCTTGAACGAGGTGCGCGCGCCGGAGGATGTCATGATCTAGGATGCGCTCGGCCGCGGGAGGCAGGGTTTGAAGGGTGTACCACTGGTCGAGCATGGCTTCCTTGGCAGCAAACCGGTCGTCCATCCATTGGCGCAAGCTGGCGGCGTCGAGCGGGATGGACTCGATGGGGATGCGTTCCAACAGGATCTTGATGGCCGATGGCATGTGGCCAGAAAGCAAAGACGCTTCGGACGGTCGCTGGTCCTTGGTGTCTTTGTGGTCGACATAGCACAGCGTCAGGTCGTAGCTACAGGGATAAGTCATATCATTATCATCCCAACATACAAACAAGGGAAACCAAGCAGTTTTGAATCAAGTGGAAAATAGCTATCGTACGCACCAAATACAAGTCAACTCGGATATATTGGGCTATATATCTGCTGTAGTTCATTGAAAGTAGTCCAATACACCAGCCACATCTCATCAAGACATTATCCTGTTATAAGAAAAAGATATGCGACGACGTACACGGCATCAACGTGGCCTCGGACCAGAGGGAACATGTGATTCCATCCCGTGGTGCGAGGGTACAAGGTGTAGTGTCGGGGCGGCAGGCCCCTCGTGGCGGCGAATTGGTTGCTCTTAATGACGCTGTTGGGAGCAAGGTCGGTGCCTTCCGGAAAGAGGAGGTACGTCGAGTTGGGTCGGGCGCGGCCGAGGTGTGTGAGCAGCCGCGTGAGTGCTTTTTCATCGGTTTTCCAGTCGCGGGACTACAATCACATGAACAAACATCGACGGAAGAGGATGTATACGAGAAAGATAAACTGAAACGCTTGCATGGCCCAGCCAAACACGGGCACGGCGCGCAGTGAATCCTTGAGCACGATCTTGAGCTGGTGCAACGTGTTGGTTCGGAGGCCCAACGACCACAGCAGCATCCAGTCGATACGCGTGCGATGGTTGGAGATCCACACGGCTCGCTCTGCAGACGTGATGCACGAGATCCGCGACTTGTCCCCAATGATGTAGATCTCTGTCGACATGCCATGCCACTGCTCCACGAGGATGGCCACATTCCCGAGCCACATTCCTTGCACCATCTGTTGCACAAAGTGGAACAGCGCCTCGCCGCGCCTCCCAAAGATATACAGGACAAGGAGTGCCGGTGTCAGCAGCATGAATAGCCCGGCGATGGCGGTGAGGACAAGAGCCCCCACAAAGCTCGCCCCACGCCAGCTCACTTGCATCTTCGTTGTGAATGCAATGACGAGACATAACTCGATTTGCATTGGATATATAATAACCAATCAAGTCCAACATAGTATCATTTTAGCCAATCAAATGATGGATAGAACAATTCCATACGATCCGCAAGTATAGTGAGTGACACTGCGATTTCGCCTGGATCTTCCCCGCAGAACTGCAATATGAACGCCAGTGGCAAGAATGAGCGCCGTTTGCCGCTGGTCTTCATGGCCCTCGTCGTCATTGGCCTCGGAAACAAAAGTACGTATGCATCACGCAGCGACCGCGCGTCCTTCCTATATCATCCTACAGCAAGAATGCTCCGGCTAACCACACCTGTGTTGACGTAGTCTTTCAAAAGCTCCAAACCATCCCCATGCACAACTACCCCAACTTTATCAACCTACTCAGCACGTTTGTCTACGTAAGATACACATCCAGGCCAGCACGGTGTATATGCGAGTACTGACTTGCATTCGTAGATCCCATTGAGCTTTGCGTACATCTTGCCGATGATCAAGTACGGGAATGCGATTACAGTGGACCAACGCCGCATCCCAAAGCGTAAGTTCGCTGTCATGGGCGCTTTGGACAGTGTCGCGGGTATCCTGCAAGTGTTTGCAGCGACATACTTGGGCGGTTCGTTGCTCATTTTGTTGGGCCAGGCCGCCATTCCTGTGAGCATGGTCATTTCCAAGGTCCTGCTCAAGACGAGCTATTCGTGGTTCCAGTACGTCGGGGCGTTGGTCGTGGCCGTCGGGATCTTGGTCGTATTGGGTCCTTCCATGCGTTCTGTGGATGGGGGCGACCACAACACGGCCGTCTGGGCCGCGGTGATGATTGCGAGCTGCGTCCCCATGTGTCTATCCAGCGTGTACAAGGAGATCGCATTGGGCCAAGCCGAGCTCGACGCCGTGTACCTGAACGGATGGATCGCCGTGTTTCAGTTCATTCTGAGCATCCCGCTGTCGATTCCCGCGGCCATGATTGGATCCCCGCCGGTGCCGCCGCGCGACCTCCCCCAAAACCTGTACGACGGCATGCGCTGCTACATGGGGCACAACACGATCGTGGACGGGCCACACCCGGACGACTGCGACAAGGCCACGCTCTTCGTGACCATCTACATCTTGTTCAACGTCGGGTACAACCTGCTGATCATCCTCATGCTCAAGTTTGGCAGCGCCAACCTGCTGTGGCTCGTACGTATCACTAGTACTAGAAGTCCCTCTACTACTAGTAGCAGTCTAGTAGTGTATAGAGTTTGTTCAAGGATGGGTGAATACTAGTGTTATTCGTAGGCCATGACCATCATGGTGCCGCTGGGGAACGTTGCGTTTACGTTTCCGTTCATGCCCGAGCATCAACCCCTGCACACAACCGACGTCGTGGGGCTCGTCGTCATCATGACTGGGTTGTTTGTGTACCGGTTCCTGCAAGACATTGTGGCCGCTCGAAAGAGTTCTGCGGCCGAGTCCGATTTGAAGGAGACGCTCATGTCAAGTTATTGAGAGTTTCTTCATCATCATGATAAGGACCAAACACACCGTGGAGATGGTAGTTGTTTTTTAAAATACAACGTGTTGGTGTGTGGATAATTCAACTTACAGAAGTAAACCAAGTCACGCGGCAGACGACGGCTTGGTATGGCTCTCACGTGATGGTGCTATACACGAGCTTGTGGTTGTCGTCGACTTGGGCGGCGTGTGATCAAGGGTATGTGGACGGAGGCACGCCAAGCCCACTTCGGCGACCGATTGCGGACTCGTGGTGTTGATGCTGATGAGTTCTCCTTGCGCGCTCACGAGAAGGGAGCTCAGGCGCGCCGTATCCTTGATGCGTCCCCCTCGCGGTTTCAAATCCGTCATCGTTGTTGGTGCCGCTGTTTGGTGCTGCGGGGTCGGGCCTTGCTGGAACAGCATCGAGACTATCGTACCACTATTTTCAAACATATTCAAACACTAAAACATGGCAACGTACGTGGAGTCGAGCGACTGTACACGTCCGAGTCGCTTTCAGTGTCCGAGGCAAACATGCTGCCGTCTCCCCCGTAGGGTTTGGACCTGTCGGGCACCTTGTGGACACCGGCTGCCGCTTCATCGTCTTCTTTCATCATGGCTTCGTCGCCGTCGCCCCATCGCCGGATGCCGCACACGTCTGGATTGAAGCGGCCGCCAAACCACCGAAACAACGGCTTGCGGCAGTGCGGCACGAGCACCTTTTCGATCAACCCAACGCTCACCAACACATTGGCAATGTCGTACAGCCGTCGAATTTTTGCTATAAGGTACAAAAATACGTTGGAATATATATATATATATATCCTCAAATATTAGAAATGCCGACGTCAAACGTACTTTTGAGCACGTTGCCGCCAATTTCACCAAGGCCTTCGTCGCGCTGAATCAACTCTTTTGCCGCCAAATCCAGAGGGATGATGATGTTCTCTTCGTCCAAAAACAACTTGACGAACAATTGACTCAGTCGCGCCAACGATTTGCCTCGTCGCCGCGCTGCATCCGATCCTACGAATGATATTGTTTATGTGTTTATTCGAAACTGGCGCGACATGGAGAATGAATCGACACAACCAAATCAATGTACAGAAGAATCATTGGCAGAAGGATTGAGCCAATCAGGTTGCCGGAAGCCATCAACAACTCAAATTAGTGTATGAATTCAATTAGTGTGATACCCATCACCACAGGACATCTTTTTACATAACAAAATTCAGTACAAAGAATCGATCGATAGATTTGGCGATTCATCGCAAAAGTCCAAATTTTGGGTCAAAGGACAATATGAAAAGAAAAATATTTCAATTCGAGCCTGTTTCGAAAAATATTATATATTATTTCACGGTACCTTTGCAGCCGTCGTCGGCACTATTGCTGCTTTCGTGGCCCGACTCGTCGTCTTCTTGTGCATATCGCTCCTAGTTGAAACATACATTCATGTTATGTTTCCTCAATATATATGTATCGACCACTCACTTTCATCTCGAGGATTGTCGTTGGGAGTGACTTCAAGCCGTGCCAATTGTACAGGTTTTTGCGTTTTCGGCTGACAATGTGAATGCTTTCGAGGATGTTGACAATGTCGTAAATGCGACGGCGCTCCACTCCTATGAATAATATTCATACACGTAATTTGATAATATATATATATATATAATTGGGTACCTAATTTTGAGGCCGCCACGTCCAACGACACATCTTCGATTTCATCGTTGCAATACAAGCGCAGAAAACTAAGGAGTACATCCAAGGCGTGAATAGTCGTTGCAATAGTTGTTCCTATACAATGTATACATCTAGTACGTACTTTTCACAGAGAAGACCCAATGACTTTTCTTTGCGACTGTACGACGGGTTCGACACCATGTGCAATTGCTCTTCCAAGGTCAAATTCGCCGACATCGACGTCGTGAACAAGAACTTGGCCGCGCTGTCGTCGTGATCCCGTTCCGGACTTCGCGCGCGTTTTTCGCAATTGAGGCCGTTGTTCTCGACCGTGTAGCGCCCCATGCGAATGTTCTCTTGGATGAGTCGGGGATCGAACTCGCGGACGCACTTCAAGTCGCCCTTTTTCTTGATTTTGCGCGGCAACACGTCGTCAGAGTCGTCAAACGTCTCCATCTTAACGTCAACCACCGTGGGGTTTAGATTCGTGCGTTCGGCACCGGCGATTTCGACAGAAGGAGGCTGCACCTTCTTGAGCTTTGGCACGGGCTTCGACGCAATTGATTTGGACTTCTTGAACGATGTTTGAGCAGAAGCTGCTGTTGCTGCCTCGTTGTAGTCGCCAAACACCTTCTTGTGGTTTCCCTTGGCGCGTATTTTCTTGACTGTTTGGTGATCGCGCTTCTGTTCACGTGTGAGTCGCTCTTCCGCTTCTCTGGAAGAGTTCATGAAGAGTGTCATCATCGTTTCGGCCGCGGCGCAGCGAACTGGACTGGGATTGTCCTCTCTGTCGTGTATCTGTGAAATCTCTGTCCGTTAGTCGTGCCGCGCGTTATGGACGTGAAGTATACGCCTACCTCGTAGATGGGACTAGACGGAGACATGTTCATCTTGCTTGTGTGTTCTCGACCTCTTCTCGGGCTGCTGTTCTCCTTCCTCGCCACTTCCGTCGTCATGCTTGTCGTCACTGTTGCCTCGACGTTGCCTCGTTTTAGCGGGGTATTTCTGCGGAGTGATGCGCAGCTGTATTTCAAAAACCTGTGACATTCGATATTCCCACTGCAGTTTTTATCTTGTCTAAAGTATAGGACAATCGCACTCAAAGATCGCACCAATCGCAGTACCCGATTCAAAATTTCCACCAATGAAAACCTCCAATATGACCTCTCACAGTTGATACCACCCCTGTGGCGCGCCAAAAACGGCACTTGCGACTGCCCTTTCTGGACCAGATAAATAAAATATGGTGGTGTTTATTAATTCCTGGCAAACGTCCTTACTCAGATCAAGTTATTTAAAAAGATAACTCCAAAGTACGCAGAATATTTTTAAGCCTTTGTCGTTGCGTCAGGTCCCGTATCCGGATATGAGAAATGCATCCGATTAATATTGTGCGTGGAAGGCAAGATGAGTAAGGTACATGTGCCCCAGAGCTTAGGGAGCATCACCATTAGTCGTCGCTGTAGGACCTGCTCTTCCACTCGGACACGTCCTCCGACGAAGATTACAAGAAGGAGAAGCGGAAGCGGAAGCGATTGATCCATGGACGAAGAAAGGACAGCGACGACGACGTCGTCGTGGTAATCGAACAGGTGGAGTCGGCGTGGAGTTGCGACCGATGCACCTACGCGAACTCCGTGGGGAACCAAACATGCGAGCTGTGCAGTAACCCTCGGCGTACATTGCCAGCGACGAGATCAACCATGACCACTGCACCGCCCACTCCACGACGCCGATCGCAAGATGTGAGAAAATCCAAGTCGAAACCACTGGTTACCGCGGCCACTCCGTGGACCTGTCAAATCTGCACATACATCAACGACACTCCCTGCATCAAGTGCAGTCTCTGTGACGCAATTCGTCCAACCAGAACAAAGCTGCCCGCTCAACCGCGGCGGCAGCCTTCCATGGAATCGATCGACAGCGCTAGCGATGACGACTTTTCTCATCACGACACATCCATGTCTTCACAACCGTCGCGACCGTTCTCCCAAGGAAACGATCGATCGCATCCTCCCAGCATCGAAGTCGACACTGCGTTATGGAACGACAAGTACCGGCCCCATGGGATGGTGGATCTGGTGATTCACCCAAAAAAGGCGCAAGAAGTGTCTGACTGGCTCGTCCACTCGACCCACCAACGCATGTTGTTCCTCTGCGGGCCTCCTGGCACCGGCAAGTCGACGTTGGTCCGTTCGTTGGCGACGAAGCTGGGGATGGCTGTGAAAGAGTGGCAAGATACCACCGGCATGTCCAACCGGCAGCACAAAGCCGCTGCCATGGACGACTTTAGCTCGTTCCTAGAACGCAGCCAGCGATACCCGAGCTTGGCATTTTCCAGCAAGGCATCTCAAACGTCGTCCAGACATGTGATCCTCGTGGAGGAATGGCCGTCCTTCCACGCTGATCATCGCGCAGAGTTGCAGCGCGTCCTGCAGCGCCGCCTCGACGCACAGGGCGACTATGCCGCGAGTCCGATCGTGATTGTGTACAGCGATGTCCGCGAAGGCAAGGTCACGACCAACATGCTCGCAAAGGAATTTTCTGCACAAGTCATGCAGTCGCCTCTAGTCCACGTCATTCACTGCAACCCCATCGCCCCCGGTACGTCGAGCCAACACGACAGGGATTAATTTGGACAAGAATTCACCCGTGACGACTATAGAAGCAATTTCTAAATTTCCTTAAATCTACTTACTCAACTGTATATATACTTGACACATTCATGCTTGAAAAGTTGTATTTGCTGAATCTTTGAGGATTTATAGATTACTTCAAGAAAAAAAACAACCCAATATTGTGCTTTCGAGTGAAATTTCGTGTTGTGGCGTGGTTTCTCGTTGGAATTTAAATCGACTTGATTGGCTACTTCAGATGAGCTCAAAATTATTAGCCAATTAAAACCCTCTCAATGAAATTCGACCAATCGGATCGATTGTGGATCGATTTGGTCGGCGCGATTCGATTGCACCCCTTCCCCAAATGTGTATCAAATCGACAATATATACTACGAATTCGAGAATTGTTTTGTATTTCGTTCTCTGTATGTGTCCGTGTTGACCATGGGATGGCTATATGAATGGCACAGTTTCGAGGTATCTAATTCCGTTCGCTGCCCAAACTTTGTACGTTACTGGATTATTTGACTAGCTGTTTATGGGTCGCCCACGTACAATATCTGAATGGGCAATGTACAAATCAGTGAGGAGGGATGGTCGAACGTGCATGTGTTGAGTGGTTAGTGACGTGCACGTTGTACATTTTAGGCGCAAAAAAACTAGACCAATGAGCTATTAGTGAATTGTTTAGATTTCTTTGAAATGAGTTAGGGATGCTAAAAAGGTACTTGACGCAAATTGCTCGGAAGGAGCGGCTTTCGGTGTCGGCCCAAGACGTGGCGCATATCGTCGAGAGCTGTCGAGGGGACATTCGGCACGCCATGAACACGCTGCAGTTCCAACGCACGACAGACTCTAACAGCACCAGCAGCAATGGTGGACGGGATCCGTTCCTGTCGGATTTCCACGTGCTTGGGAAAATACTCCACCGAAAAGGTATTCTGGTGTAGAAACCCGTACGTTTATATAAAAGGATATGACTCACGGGCAGATCTGACGGATGAAAAATGCCGGTTGAGCCAGACGAGCCTCGACACTGGCCACGTCTTGGCCATGGTCCATCAGAATTGCTTGCCGTATTTCACAGACATTGACGACGTCGCCCGCGCGTTTGACGTGTTTAGCTTCACCGACACGCTGCTGCACAGTGTCTACCACGATCGGTCCAATTCCAATGTACAAGAAGGAACCTATCTATGTTGGGTAAGGACTGACTGGTTTGATGCTCTTGGTAGTACTTTTACCACGCCCAAGGGATTGCCCAAGCCATGTTGGAACGCACGATGCACGTGACCAATGTTCATGCAGCCCCGTCGACGTTTCGGCCGTTGACGCGGTCCCAACTATACTCGACATCTCAACATGCGCAAGACACTAACCAGTGGAAACAAGGTCGGAACTACAAGTTTATATAGGGTAGCTTTATGGATCTGGCTTCTCATGTGCGTGTTGTTTGTAGGGGCGTCGTACCATCGAGATGTGAGGCCGTACGAGCGATGGTTGCCGCAGACGTCGTCAGCAGCCCCGACACTGCTCGTGTCAGCAGACGACGTGGACGACGAAATCGTCGACAGCGACTGAGATTACCTCTAATCTACCTTCAACAGCACATTGCACTTGAACGTTCGTTACCAACGGCAAAGTCATAGTTGTTGAGGCCATTGCAAAGATACAGACGGTAGACCTCTATTCGTTCAACTCGAACAGGGTCATGTGTTGGAACTTGAGCACCTGACCCATATATATCAGTTTGGAATGAAAAAGGATGGATGGATGATGATCGTTTGCACCTCGTTCCCGACACACGTCCAATGGGGTCTCAACTCCCTGGCAAAGATTTCCAGCTTGGCATCGCCTTTTTCGTCGATACCGAACGGCGCCACGGACGGCAGCAGCGGCGGCTTCCACGAGTGACGCAGCGGCACACTGACGAGAACCTTGTCTGGGATGGATGTACATGCAAACGACCCGCGTCCAGCCAGCAGCACCTTTTCAAAGGGTAGTTTGTGCGATGACGACAGCGGCGTCACGCAGTCGCCATTGCCGGCCACTTTGAGCCAGTGCCACGTCTGAAGATAGGCAAACCCCCACCGAGGCAGCAGAGTTTGGCGGATAAAGTCCGAGTACGTGGGCTTGTTGGTCACCCAGATGGCGAGAAGACACCCGTCGGGATGGGCAAGGGCCGGGATGTCCACATGCACGAGGCGTGTGTGCGGCATCGTGGTGTACGTCGACCCTCGGGCGACCGTCTTGTTTTCCCACGGCGGGTCCATTACAATGAACCGATGGATGCTCGGAAGAGGAGGTAGACGAAACACATCGCCCAGCACGAACGCAGAGTGTCGGGGGAGGATGTACTGTTGATTGGCGTGCATGATGAGGGTATCGTCGTCGGAAGTGTTCTCCTGGAGGCCGTCCATAAACGTTGATGCAAGCGACGTGTGCGACGACGCCCATTTTGTTGGAGGGGGGTCAGCGGTGGAACTAGTCGTGCTTGTAGCCAGGTTGATGTATGGAGGAAGAAGAGTGGGCACAGAAGGAAGGGCATGGCGACGCACTGCTTCGAGTTTGGCGAGGAGGTCCGGCGATGGCAACCGCAATGACAACGACGCAGGTGATGCCTTTCGCTTTCGTTTCTTAAGGTTGATACTCGACGACTCTTGAATGTACGCGACATGAGAGACGCGGAGACTTGCGGCTGCCACTCGGAAGCTGTTGTAGTACGCATTGACGGTGTCAAGATGATGCACAACCTCGAAGGCAGCCGACGTGGCATCGAGTGCGCTGGCAGCCGCGGCATTTGGGTCTTCGGCTTTCATGATTACGATTTGGTCGCCTAATTTACGCAACTTGGATTAAATTAGGCACTTGGTATCGTTAAAATAGGTCAATGCCACTCGGCCATAATCCGGATAATTCAAATCGTCCGGTTGAGTGTTGCGTCAAATAGCCAACAACCTATCGTTGGTGCGAACAGAACGAACGATGTTGCGTCAAGCTACCTTGCGCGCCATCAAGCGGTCAACTCCGTTGGTCCATGGCATGTCCAAACAAGCCGTGGCGTCCATCACTGCCACTAGCACGCAGTGCATTATTGGACGGCCTGCCCATGTTCCGTTGATGTCCATGATGATGACGCACCAGCAGCAGCAGTCGTGTTCAAGCTATCAACGACGGATGTTTTCCACCGACCCCTACCACGAGAGTGCGTTCCATTGCAAGTGTATTTCGTCCTCATGACTGTCCATGAGTAGGCGAAGGATGGTTGGCTGCGGACAAGAAGATTCTGGAGCGGCGACTGAAGACGTTTGGACGCGACTTTGAGATCAAGTCCATGGCAGTGGCGGCCGGGTTGAACGACCAGGAGTGGGGACCAGCGACCACACAGTTTCGTCGTTCGCTGGTGTCCCATCCTGAACGACACTTCAAAGACACGCGTGAAATGCACGACTTCGTCGAGGTCCTTCCAGTCTTGTTCTTCCTGCTTGACTGATTCAATCGTTGCATTTTGTGTGTAGGGCCTCAAGACCAATGCTGCGGCGGGGGCGTTGCAGTTCTACCCCCTCTTCCTCACGTTTGTCAAGGAGAACGCGTACATCGCCGACATTTCCCAGGACACGCAGTCCCTTCGCGAACTGACCGACCTTCGGCTGCCGCATACTTGGTACCCCAAGGCCCACGCCATGAAGCGGAAGATCATCTACCACGGCGGACCCACCAACAGTGGCAAGACGTACGAAGCATTGCTTCGACTCAAACAAGCAAATGACGGTACGTGCTGCTCGCCGCGTTCCTCGACATGTCATGATGATATACCCCTTCGGATTCGTCGGCAATCACAATGCTATATCGCACCCCTTCTGATACACGGCATCTGATCCGTTTCCCAGGATGATATGTCTCTGAGTCTGAATCTGATTCGTCACTCACGATGCCATATCTCGTACCCCTTCTGATTCTTCTGGCACGGCTCGTCTGATTTTGAACCGGATTCGTCTCCAGGATGATATTCGTCTGAGTCTGATTCATATCGTGACACATTTAGGCTTGTATTGCGGCCCCTTGCGACTGCTGGCGCTGGAAATCTATGAAAACCTCAACATGGACGGCGTGTACTGTTCGTTGATCACGGGCGAAGAGAAGCGCGAGATTCCGTCGGCCACACACGTAGCATGCACCGTCGAAATGTGCAACTCGTCGGCCGTGTATGACGTGGCCGTGCTAGACGAGATCCAACTCATGGGTGACAGCGAGCGCGGGTGGGCGTGGACACGGTACCGAGATCAACTTGAATGATATATATATATATATGTCTTTATGTGTCTTTTCATATATATATATATATATATGAAAAGACACTCATGGCGGGAGAACGATGATGGTGTAGTGCACTATCTTGTTTGCAAGCCAAGGAGATCCATGTGTGCGGGTCCATGGAAGCGGTGGACTTGGTAAGGGACAAGACGTTTACAATATGGATGGACACAAGCAAGGAATTGTGAATCGTTCATATGGTGAAGAAAGATAATTGTTTAATATTTTGGTGGATATTATTATTATTAGGTCAAAAAGTTTGCCGAACTCGGGGACGACGACTTTGAACTGCGAACGTACGACCGCCGCAGTCCGCTGTCGATCGAAACCGAAGCGTTGAAATCATACTCCAACATTCGCAAGGGCGATTGCATCGTCGGGTTTTCCCGCCGTCGAATCTTTCAAGTACGAAACTATATATATATATTTATATATTTGCCCAACGGTGTCTTGTGAAGAAGAATATAATAATATTCACATCCGTCGTAGATCAAACGGGAAATTGAGATTTCGACGGGGATGCGGTGTTGTATCATCTACGGCCAATTGCCACCGGAAACACGGTCGCAACAAGCCCGGCTTTTCAACGAACCTGACAACGGTATATATATTTATAATATATATATCCATGATAATGTTAATATTTAGACAACGGTATATATGTATATAATATATATATATCCATGATAATTTTAATATTTAGACAACGGTATATATGTATATAATATATATATCCATGATAATTTTAATATTTAGACAAAGGTATATATGTATATAATATATATATATATCCATGATAGTTATAATATTTAGGTTACGATGTGCTGGTGGCATCGGATGCCATTGGAATGGGTCTGAACCTGAACATTGGCCGCATTATCTTTGACAGCATCCTCAAGTTTGACGGGTCCGACATGGTCGACATCACTCCTTCCCTCGTACGAATATATATCTGTATATATATAATATTTGGATTCTCATGATGGGCGGGTAGACCAAACAAATCGCGGGTCGGGCGGGTCGGTCGGGTAGCGACTTTGCCCACGGGTTGGCCACGACGTTCAACGAAGCAGATTTGAAATATCTCCAGGATTCCTATCATGAGGCGCCGGCGCTGCTCAAGGCGGCGGGCCTCTTCCCTTCCACAGACCAAGTGAATACAAGATTTATCCGGATAAAAATACCTCACAACTCGCCTAGATGGTGGAATTTGCCAAGCAAATGCCGGATACGACCGACCTGGGCGTCCTGTTGGTATGTGATAATACAGTGAATCTAGTTTAATAGCGCTGGCAATATAGGAAAAGTATGTGTCCCTCGCTCGGTTGGACGGGGACTACTTTATGTGCAAGTTTGCCGACATCAAGGAAGCCGCCGTGCTCTTGGCCGACATTCCGATGCCATTGGCGGAACGTTTTACATTTTGCACGGCGCCGGCCAACTTGCGCAACCCCCTCGCGCGTCGAATCTTTGTGGATTATGCCATAGGACACGGAAATCAACGCAGCGTGCCGTTGGATGTGTATTTGCCCAAGGTACTGACGACGTCAGTATCGTGAAGAGGCTTATATAACAATATGGGTAGATGGCCCCGCGCAATGAACTGGCCCTCCGAGATGTTGAAATCAAAGCCAAGCTCATTGACGTGTACCTGTGGCTGTCGTACCGATTCCCAGACACGTTCAAGATGCAAGCGGAAGCGCTCGAGATGAAGGACCGGGTGCTGGAACTCGTCGAGGAAGGGCTGGTAAACGTCACATACAAGAAGTCGGACGACAAACCCAAGAAAAAGGTCGGCGAGTGGAACACGGATCGCACCAAGTTTGTCCGATATGCCGACGCTCGTCAGGCCAATTAATATAGACTTACTTGATGGAGTACTACTTATTAGAGCATCTCCAACGGCGTTTTTATTTCTATTTCACAATATGTCAATTCGAAGTTACGGATGTAGAATAGAAACTCTTGCTCTATCCGGAGGGTTTGTTGCTATTTCACGCGAAAATAGAAATTCTGCGAGACGAAATTTCTAAAAAGTCCGGATAGTGCCAAAATAGCAACCGTAAAAACGAAGTTTGACTTTAACCTATGCTTTAGGTTAGAATTTACCGTTGGAGATGCTCTTACTAACAGTAAGTTATGCACAGTTTCGTGCCAACACAGTTCCGTGCCACGGCTTTGATAGGTCAATTCGGTCGATATTGGACGTATTATAGCCAATAGAACGCGTCTTTGAAATTCTGATACTTGAGGCTACATTGTTGCATCCGGATAAAATGGCACGGATTTGTTTTCAGCCTATCGAGATTTTGAATATTCAAGGTCATTTTACTTCCAAACTAATGCGAAATTCGATACAATTTCAAGTCACACAATCTGCATTTTTCCTCGTGATTAAAAAACACTATTATAATAGCAAATTGGACGTCAGGAATATCTCCAACTGAGGGCCTCTAAATGTGGCACGGAACTCGGCCCTTACGTATACTACTACTAGTATGTACTTACTCATTAGTGTTTGTGTTTTATAGCTGTGCATGGTTGGTTAGTTACTGACAATATGCCAATCCATCTAACGTGGACAGTTATACGTATAGTTGCCGCAAAAAGCTCGATAGATCTTCAATGCAACAATCCAACGACGTTGGGGACCAATCAGAGTCGGATAGATTCTTCACCGACCAATCAAATCGTGCCGCTAAGTAATTCGCATTGAACCAATGAAAGTGCAATTGCAAAGGTAATTTTGGCCAATCCAAATGCATGAATACAAAGTAGAATTTCGAATACCATGGATTTCCTCCAATCAAATGACGTATATCAATACCGCCATCGAGTGCACCAATGAAATCGACGGCTTTTTGTTCTCCTGCACAAGATCTTTGTTGGGGTTCGAGATATCGGATCAAGCGCGCCACGATCGTGAACTATGCCGGTCGTCGCCGCACCTACCCCGCCCCCACCGCCGTTGGCTACCGCTACCATTGCCATGGCGACAGCACCTTTGCCTGAGGATCCACAGCAAAATGCAGTAGCTGGACGGGACTTTGAACTGCCTGTACATGAACAAGGCTGGATGCCAAAACCTGCGGTGTTGCACGCGGGGAAATCCCGTAGTTGCACGGTATGCTTTGCGCCGCTGCAGTACTCGAGCGTGTCCAGTTGGGACGAATACTTGAAGAGCGAAGAGTACCTCGGACATCTCCAGTTGAACTTGTTGAACGACACGTTCATCCGCGGGTTGATCTGTGGGGAAAACTACTTCGGCGACCTACCCACGGAACATCGCATGCACCCACAGCGTCGCATCAAGTGCCGTCAAAACGTCGACGACCATCTTAGCATGAACTCTGCAGGGCTGTTGGACTCATCTGACAAGGACAAGTCCCTCGTGCGGACTCTCGAGGAGCTGCTCATCGACGGGTTACCCACGCCAACGTTCACGTACGTGCTGGAGCGGCGATTTGCCGTCATGTTCCACAGCGCCAAGATCGTGTCGTCGTTGATGAAGTCAGTGCGGACACAAAAGTTGCCGCGGCCTCAAGCGGACGCCACGCCGCACGTCGAGCTCCATCACGTAGCGATCCATGCCCTGTCAACGTTGCTGGGTTTCTTCGACTTTAGCGGGGAGAACGCGCGCGCTCCTTTCGTCGAGTTATGCCGGATGCTGTCATCGTTTCCGCCGTTGTCTCTGCTATCGTTCTGGAGTCCGCCGCCCAAAGCCCCCGAAGAAGAGGTGATGCTTCTGAAAACCCAAGTCGACGCCAGCCACACGTCTCCGTTGCATCCTGTCCATTCAATCTTAGACTCTTCCGAATCAACGTACTGGCTGTCGACGGTTCGCCCCGGTGTCGCATACATTACCCTGTCGCTAGGCTCGCGGACCAACATCACTGGTTTGCGACTAAAATGGCGGTCGAGTGCCCATCAACCGTCGACGATTGTCGTACAAACCAAGGCACGTGGAGCTGCCACGTACACATCCCTCAAGGAATTCCACAGCAAACCGTCAAGTCCGTTCCCCGATCGCTTCGAGTTGCCGCCGGTGCCCATCTCGACCGATTGCGTTCGACTCGCGCTTTCGGGCATGCCCACTGCCAACAAGGACAACACGTACGGCATAGTTCACTTGAGCGTCCTTGCGCCAATGCAGGACACCGCGATGGCGCCGCAAGCCGTGATGGCCGACGTCGAAGCCTGGCTCGTGAATGCTGCATTGCATACGAACGTTCCCAGCAACGGCGATCGCGATTCGACCAATGAAACCCCGAAACCAAATGGAGGCAGCTTAGCTGACGACGCCTGTCTAGCTCTGCACACGTGGACATTGGCCACGGGGTCTCTGACGGCGTTGCTGCGGCTAGTTCACTTGGCCTTGGCGTTGCGGACGAACGACTTCGATGTAACTCGTCGCCTTGTGTGCGTCGACTCGGCCAGCCATGTCCTGCATGCGATCGAGGCGCATGTGTGTGCCGAAACCGAGCGCATTCAACTCGCGGTGCCGTCGACCGAGTCCCGCAAGGTGCGCGCGGGGTTTGATGCCACCCTCGGGTCGTCCGGCACGACCATCGAGGATGGCGGGGCATCCGTTCGCACGCGGGAGACGAGCTACCAGCACGCGGTGGTCAACTCGCCCATCTCAACCGGCAAAGCGAGCTGGAGGTTCCGCCTCGATACGGATACCGTCGACGACGAAATGACATGCTTTGGGGCGGCGATTCTGCCCGTAACTATCAGCGGGTACGATTCATCTCCCAATCTGTGGATGCTCCGGGGGTATAACGGCAACTTGTACGCCCGGGGCCATAAACTCAGTCGGTCTATTGGCAAAGTTCACCCGGGGGATGTGGTGCAAATTGACGTTGACATGAATGTGGGTACGATGTCATTTGCAATCAATGCGACAGAGTACGGCGTCGTCTTTACCGACTTGGGTGGCCATGAAGTGTACCCAGCCGTGTCGTTTTACGGGTCAGGCAAGGTGATTACACTGCAAAGTTTGCACAAGTGGGGTGACACGTCAGTGTCGTCGTCGTCTATGTCGGTAAGAACGAGTGGCCACAATGCTGCCGACCCCGTATACGTTTCGACGCTGCCAGAGTACGAATATGCTGTCGGCCACGGTCGATTTGGACGAGGCAATGTCTTGGGGTACACGGGGGAAGCGGCTTCTTCGTTGAACGGAGCTGCGGATGCATCGGCGACTAGTACGACAGCTACGACGGCCTCAATTAGTGTGCGGTCGGAAGCCAGGCAGCGGTCGCTATCCATCCATCCGCCGGCTCGCGGCGAAGCCTTTGCCACGTATGACCTCGGGATGGGGTATGCGGCGGTGACGGGCGGGGTCGCGCTGAACGACGACGTTTCGCACGAAGTTCTGGCGCAACGCGGCATCTCGGTTGTGTTTTCGCTAGTAGGCGACGGCATGTTGCTGTGGAAGTCCAAGCCTGTGACGACGTCTGGTCACATTGAAAGCTTCTCCGTGGCGATTCATAAGGTTCGCATGCTAGAGTTCCGCGTGAGTTGCAGCGGCAGCAACCACGGCGCGCACGCGATTTGGGTCGATCCGCAGCTCACGATAGTCGACGACTGGGTGTGCTCGAGCTGTTCTTTTGTAAACAAGGGGACAGCCAAAGGGTGTGTCCTGTGCCAACACTTATGTGCTAGTACTAGTACTATTACTGCTACTACTCCTGAAATAAAGACATCCCAAGCAACCACGATACAACCAGCAGCCAGTGATGTATTCAACCTATCGAAAGCGATAACGACCAAGGAACACCCTGCCCTGGAGTTGCTGTCTGCAGGTCCAGCGTTGACGAATGCCAGCCATCCATTGGACGAAGCGGCGACGGCGCTGCTCGATGTCGTGGATCGTCTGGGGCAGATGGTTGTAGCCAACGACCGCCGCCAAGTACCGCTGGAAGCACCGTTTTGCCTCCAGCCGCACATGACGACCTTGTCGCTGCTAGCTGCGTTGATTCAATCCCACTTGGATACCCTGTGTACTCCAACCCACGGCGACAAGCGCACTGATTCGCTCAGTGTACGGCGATGCCAGCTGCTGCTTCAGATCCTCGGGCGGCAGCTCACTGTGCTCGACATGTACACATCGTCACCACCGATCTCCCCAAACTCTACATTTGAAAACGTGGCGCCGCCAGCTGCCGTCGTCGCCAACATCCGTGCGCTCCTCGAGAGTTTGGCGCATGTCCATGTAGCTAATCCAATGTCCCCTGCCAAGACGAGGGCGTGGACTGGTGGAAGTGGATGTTTGGTCACCACCCTCCAGATCACCGCGGCGCAAACGCTGGTGGACGGATTGAGCTTGCTGTATCCGGCATCGTGGGATCGCACCACGCTGCTGCTGACGCTGCTTCGAAGCTATGCCCGCGACCGCTTCGACCCGTCGTCCGCGCGGTACTTGATCTTATCGCGGCTTCTCGCGCTGTTGGCAATGCCAGGGGACATGGGGGTGCTCACGTTCTTCCCCGACGTGCCAGACCGCCTGCACAGCTCCCAAGTCCACGAGATCATGACCCATTTGCTCACAGACGAGTACCACTCGACTTGTGTGGCGGCCGACGCGTTGGCATGTGTCCAGACATTCCAGCTGTTTCTGCTGTCTCAAGCGATTGAGCTGACAAACAAGTCGGCGGTGGCGGCGCCGCGGGGGGAGCAAGATCACCATCATGCGTTCCGCGTGGTGATCCAGGATATGACGATGCGGTACAGCGAACTGCTCTTGACGTTTGCCCGCCGGACGCTCGACGCCTCCCTTGAAGCCACCGCCGACGGATCGTTGTCGGTGCTCCGGACGTTGCTTCCGCCGTTGGTGTCGGGCTTGAGCCTGCTGCGTCGGCAAACGTGGCTCGTCCGCCCCCTCTTACCCAAGCTCACGATGGTGCTGCGTGTGTTGGACGTCGTATGCGGGCAAGACGACGGCGTCCGGAGGTCGGAGCGGCGTCTTTTGGCGCTGGACCAGCGGCTGGCGTCGTACGCGGTCGACGCGGATGACGTGGGCAAGTGGCAACTGGAGAAGAACCCCACGCGCGTGCAAAAGCAGCTGTACAATGTCTTTTCCAAGCTGTACACGGGCGAGAAAGATCACTTTGAAGGCCAGATCGGGTTCCAATTTGAAGCTATGGCGTCGTTCACACTCGTGGCGCTAGGGAGGTCGGTCCACCCAGTCCGACACGGCGGCAAACTGCTGCACAAGCACACGGTGCGGCTCTGGGACGAGGCATCGCAGGCGCTGCTGGGGTCAGTGACAGTCGCGTCCACGTCTCCGTGTGATGGCATGGGCTACGCGTTCGAGTACTTGGCGGTGCCGCTTCGAGTGAGCCACGGCAAGCTATATCGCCTCACGACTCAAGAGTTTGCGAATGGAGGGGACCCTTGGTACAAGAAGGAGAACCTCCCCGACGAAGAGTACGACCGGGCGTTCATCAAGATCTTGCGCGACTGCTACGCGTCGGGGTCGTCGGGGTTTCCGAGCTCGCAAAACTTGACAGGCGCGGCCTACGGTGTCCCTACGTTTCTCGTCGAGGAAGACAACCCCATGGACACGCTGCCGTGGATAGTTCCCGTCGACGGACTCCAAGCCGTGAAATTCAACGCCAAGCGCAAGGCGGCGTCTGTGTCCATTGGCCACGTCGGCAATACCCTCACAGTGTTGGGGGAGTCGGGGCTGTGGCGGACAGTGTTTTGCACGAGCGCGATCGCCAACGGCGTCCACACGTTGGAGTTTGTGGTCAAGAGCAGCCGCGTCGGCGGCGGTGTCAGTGGCCACGTCTGCTTTGGCTTTGAATGCGGCGTCGGGGGGGACCTGCCCGTGTCGGGGGCGTTCGTCGGCCAATCCCGAGGCAGCATCGGGTACATGCCGGCTATCGGGTGCCTGTGGAACCAAGGAGTGTGTGTCCCGTTTGGAAGACGAGAAGGAGATATCAGCAAGATTGTCGTGCTTGGCGGCGATGTGTTTGCCATGACCATCGATTATGACCGCCACATGGTTGGGTTTGCCCACAACGGATGCCCCATCGGCACCGATGTGGCCATCGAGTTGCCACTAGCCGTGGTGCCTGCCGTGAGCGTCTACGGCCTCCACGATGTGGTGGACGTTCGACCTGGAGGCATTGCCAAATCGACGCTCCAGCTCCACTGGCTACTGGATGTGCTCAATTCAACAGCTTCATTAGCTGGTCGGTTTGCGGGCACACTCATCTCTGGTCCGCCCATCGACGGCGTCGAAGAAGAGCTTCAGCCGTGGCTCCAGTCGACGTTGCTCAGCGGGGGGCTCACAGGTCCGTCGTCGTCGTGTGGCAGTCGAAGGAATTCGCTTGTGCTTGATGTGACCGGCACGTCGTGGGCAGCTGCGTTAAAGGGAGAAGGATCGTTCTTAAACCCACGGTATAACCTGGGGATGGCGGCGGTACCCGCCCCGCCTTCGCATCCCCTCGTCTACCAGCGCAAGTCATCTTCGTTGCTCAATGATGTGCCCAACACTGCAGTAGACGACACAGACTTGATGTTGCGAGATGAAGCCCCAAAGTTGCTGGTCTGGCTCGACAAGTTTCTCCCCGACTCAATCATGTGGCGCCGCCAGGAAACGTTCCCGCACGTCGAAGCCGCCATGATGACGGCGCTTATCAAGCACGCGCCGCCGCATCTCTTGCATGAAGCCAAAGCCGTGCTACTGGCAGGTCACGACGCCGCGGTGGCGCCATCCGCCGACATGGCGCTCGTGTGGAAGTGTCTGTTAACACTCCGACACTGGCTCATTAAAAGCAAGCACGAGTATCGGGCCAAGGAAGCTGCTGTCGCCGATAATGACGACCAACGACACTCGACCGCAGTGGACTCGACCCCCGACGAGCTCAGCGTACGTCATCACTTGTGACATGGAGTTACTGATATATTTTCTTGAATGGGCTCGTGTTTGAGTGTTTGATTTCTGTTTATTTGTGTTTTGATTCCCCTTTTTGAACCTGTATATAGGTATGGGAGCAAAAGCTGACGTTGCCGCGATCGTTCGAGTTGTTTGTCCATCACGTACAAGTTCGTGCGGAATTTCTATGTCATTTGGAACCTCCCGCCGACACGCCAAGTCGGTGGTCACCTGAAGCATTGGCCAATTTGGCTGAGAAATGGACGGCTGAGCACCCGCCGTCCCTGCAGCCGATGGTCGATCGGTGGCGAAGTCTGAGCTTGAGCGATCGGTCTAAGTGGAATGGCCTCGTCCAAGTGCTCCAAGCCCAGCACAAGTGGCGTATTCGAAGGCGCAGCACGACTAGTAATAGTAGTAGTACTACTACTACTGTCGTCGACGCGAGCCAACCATCAGACAACGACGACGTCGACGCCCCATCTGAAGACGAACATGGATATCTCAGCGCGATGCTCCGAGCATGTGATTTGTACGTGCGCAACGGAGTCGGCGCCCCGCCCGACGTCCTGTACGCCTTGCTAGAACGCCGGTATGATGGTCTTTCACGATATATATATATATATATTCTGTGTACTGAATATCTGTTCAATATGGCGAATGGTGTTCGCTTGTATGTGAATTGTGGCTTTTGGTGGTGGCTCTCCATATGGATTGCCGACAGTAATATCATAGTAGGATGATGTAGTGTCTTGTTATCAAACTAACAATATGTGGAATCTCAAGGAAGAGTGTTTACATGGTGTGCTATAATGAGCTACCTCGGTATAGCTTGCAATTGTAAACTCTATCTACTAGTATGACTAGGACTGGGATCGATGTACAAATATCACACATATATTTCTCGTGCCTTTGCTCACAATATATATATAACTTGTAGATACACAAGATCCGAGTCTCGGGTGTTTGGCCTGGACGCAATGAAGTCGATCTTGAATGTCCTATCGTTCGACTCGTGTCGGTCGAGCGCGGTGCTGTTCTTGCGGCCGGCGCTTCGGGGGTTCACCGACGACGAACGGGTGGCCAGGGAGACGTACTTGGAGCAGCCGCAGTCCCTCGTTGAAGGCGGCAGTTTGGCGTTCCGCCCGACGGTGCGGCACCACTACCTCAAGGGGTTGGAAGGATGCACTCGTCCAGTGCTAAAGCGTGTTCAAGATGCGTTCATGGAGTTGTATGCTGTGCTGGCCCAAATGCTAGCCAAGGCCTCTGCTAGTCCAACGTCGTCGACGGGGGCTTCGTCTGGTTCAATCGTGTGGCAGCAGAGCCTTATTGGAGCGTGGGCGCTCGACTTTGAACCGCGAGACCACGAGTTTCTACTGCATGTCGACATCCTTGGGTTGCTCACAAAGCTGTTTTCAGTCGCGACGCTGTCCAGCAACGCCCGACACGATATTGCTAGCAACGACGACCACTCGTTTCCACACGATTTAGTGGGGGCTACACTTCACAACAACAAAAGCCCGTCGAAATCCACGGTTGTCGTCACCGAGTGGCATCCCCTGGCTGAAGCATATGTGCGCAAAGGTCTGCTTGTCGGCAACCTGACTAAGCGCGCCGTGCTGCAAGTGATGCGCCAAGCCCCCGCGTACGCCCCCAAGAACGTTTCCGCCAGAACATCCTCTGCATCCTCGTCGTTCAAACGACTCGTGTCGAAGCACACGGCATCGTCGACGGTGCTTGCGTACTCGGATTTTTTGAAGTCGCTGCATACAAAACTCAAGTGGGCGACCAAACAATTCGATCTCGGCCGCAAAGTACTCCAGCTCAACTTGGGCGACGATGTGTCGGTAGTGGAGTTTCCCATGATCGCCCCCGCCGTCACATCAACGACGTCGTCGTCGTTTTGCATCGAGTTGTGGATCCATCCCACGGAGCTGCAAGGGTACAGCACCCTCCGCAGCGAAGTCGGGTTTGCCGACGGCAGCGTTCACGTTGAACTCGTAGACAACCGTCTGCAGCTAGCCGTCGCTGGCAACGTTCCGCGCGAACAGCTCTTTGACCACCCGTTTGCCTGTTATGCATGGCACCATGTGGCTGTTCTGTACGACCACGACCAGCATGTGGTGGACTTGGTCGTCAACGGCCGCCACAGGCAACAATTAGTGTACGCCAACACGTGCGCCAAGGTGCAGTGGCGCCTGGCGCGGCTCGGCAGCTGGATACCCGACGTGACGGCGACCCAAGTGCAGCGGAAGTTCAAAGGATTTGTGGCGGAGCTACGCGTGTGGCTCGGAAGTTCCCGCACGGTGGCCGACGTCGCCGCCAACTACCAGCGGCGGACGGCGGCGGACGTCGGAGCCTCGTCCGTGCTGTTTAGCTACCACCTCGACGATGGAGACGGCGAGCTCGCCGTGTGTGCAGACGCGGCACCTTGCAACGCCTTGCTCACAAAGTGCCACTGGACGCGAATGAACGTACCTGTATGGGATGTATCCATGACGACGACAAGCAGCCAATGGCAGCAAGCCTGTGGGGGGATTCAATCGGTGCAGCGCCGGTTCCGTCGATGGCGTCGGGTGCATCTCACTCGTGCTATGACTCGGATCAAGCAAGCAATCCACCACGAAGAACTGCACGAAGATCTGTGGGGGTTGAGCGACGAGAGCGGCGACGACGACGACGACGACGAAACTGCAAAGGACATGATGCATGTTGCCGCGCCCAGCGTTCAAAGTCTGGTGGGGCGGGTACAATTGCAGCACACGGCGTGGATTGTGTTTCGATTGGTCGGGATCGTAGCCATCAGCGGGATCCGCGGACGGGTCGAAGTCGAAGCGGTGGAAGCGGCGCAGTCTGCCAAGAACCGTCGGCTAGACAAGCAAGCCGACCACCGGCAGCAGAAATCGGTCGACGCCGCCAGTGACGTGGCGAAATCAGCGGCCACGTCCACAGCACTTGAAGTGCCCGTGGCCCAGCGGCTGTGGTTCTCGGTCGAATTACACCGAAAGGTGTTTGAAGGCATCGAGCGCGAACTAGCCGCGGCCACGAAACTCATCCACGACGCGGAAAAGCTCATTCGGGCACAGCAGCCGTCCATGTTGAGATCCATGTCGACGCCGGTGCACCAGACATCGCAGGAACCCGCGCCCCTCGAACCCCTCGAAGTCGAAGCATATGTGTTTCATCTGCTCGTGTTTCTCATTTCGCAAAGTGATACGTATCCCGCCCAAGAACACTTGAGCAAACCAGCCGTGCTACGCGAACTCCTCTTGCTCCTTCGCATGGGATCTCCGAGAGCCCAGCGCCTCGTGCAGCTGCTGCTTCGGCAGGTGGCGTCGGTTGTCACCCCCGCACAAATTGGCGCGCTTCTCGGATCGGACACTGTCTTTCTGGACCTCCTTCTGGACCGTGTATCCGACTCGATCTGTGGAAGCGACGCTGAACCCATGAGCCAAAGCAGCATGCGGGAATCCCTGGCCAATCCTCTGGGGTTCAACACGGGCCAGATCTTCCTCACGCTGGCCGCCGAGTCGGTCGCGCTGCTGCGCCTCCTCTTGCGGGAACCGGCGTGGACTTCGCGCGTGTCGGACGTGCTGAGCGCCGCCATCCGAAAGGCGGCGCCCGTCGTGACCCAAGAAGCCGGCAACCCCAGCAACCTCCGTACCCGCGTGGTGGTTCTTCGCGCGATGGGGGCCCTCTGTGTGCTCGGCGCACACTTAGACTGCCTCCGCATCGGCGGAAAAGTCGAAGTCCAGGGGGTTTCTGCCGACGAGGCGCCGTCCGTGGCCACGCTCATCAGCCGGACACATGACACTGCACGAGTGGTGTTTGACGACGGCTCCAAAGTGCAGCAAGTGCGGGTTGCCGACATGTCGCCCATCGAAGAGATTCCGTCGCGCGTCGTGTCGGCCAGTGTGGCGGCGCTGCTCATGCCGCCGCTGCTCCACTTTGCCACGCTGCAAGACGACTCGCTGTGGCGCGCCCAGCTGCGATCCCGTGCCTTGTTGGCCTTGGAATCTTTTCTCAAGCACGATCATTTGCTTGCGTCCGCCGCGTCGTTGGTGGCCACGGCGCTCACGCCGTTGAATTTTCCCGCGTTCGTCAGCACCGCCGCGTTGCAAGAGCGCAGTCGGAGCATCCTCAGTCGCCTCATTGAAGCCTCCACGCCGCTGGGTCCGATGATGTTCAAGGGACTGGCAGATCCCACACCCATTATTCCAGACGCGTCCAAGCGGCAGCTGTCGGTCCCACCGCCGCCGCCACCCCCGCCGCCGCCATCCGTGTCGGCGGTCCGGCAAGGGTTTGCGGCTACGCTGGCGTCGATGGGGTTTGACATGGACTTGTGCTTGATTGCGCTCGAACAAGCGCGAGACGACCCGAATGCTGCGGTGGAATGGCTCATGGGCGACGGAGCCATCACCTACCGCCGCAACTTGGCGTCTAGTTCAACGCCGTCGTCTCACTTTCAGCACTTATTGGACGACACAACGTGTCGCGAAGACAAGGCTCGGGATCTGCAAGGCATTTCCGGCATGCCGATGCGTCTGGTGCTGGCCGCGCTCGACATTTGCGGAGGCGACGCCAACCGCGCGGTCGAGTGGCTGCTCGAGCACGGCCGGCGGTTCTCCACACCGCTCAATCTGCACATGGACGCGTTCTGCCAAGACCTGTCGGGGCTTCACGACCAAGCGGCGCTGGAAGTCGCCGATCAAGACGACTCGCTCCTCTTAGAAGACCCGGTGACGCTGTTGCCCGCGGATATGTCGACGGTGTCTATGGGGGTAGGCGCTTTTTGTTCGTCGTCCTTGTCAACCCCAAGTCATCATACAAGCCTCCCCCACACCGCCAGCAATAACTACACGCCAAGTGCCAGCGTCGATAGCTCGCTAATGACGGCGACGTTGGCCCCAATTGTCGCGAGGGATCGGCAAAACGGGTGGGGGCCGCTGGACCCGACGTACTTGCCTCCGAATGTCGTGCTCACCGTGAGCGAAACCATCGGCCCCGTGGCGCAGCTGGCCCGCTCGGGCACGGTGGTCGCATCGAACAATACGTCGGCGCATGCGACGGTGCTCTTGAGCTTTTTAAACACGGAAAACGGCGCGTTAGAGGAAGAGTATGTGTGTGCGATTAAGGTGAAACGATGGAGCAAAGTGTTTGACCAAGACTTGGTGGCCGTGGACAGCATTTACCAGGTGGCGCTGCGCACGGAACAGGCGCTGTCGACGTGTTATGCGCGTCGGGCGTTGCTGGAATTGCTAAGCAACGACAGCGCGACTGTGTTAACCCTCATGGGCGGCCCCGCGCCGTTCATCCAGATGGTCAAGTTGGTCGTGGGGGCGTCCTTCGCCGGCAGCAACAACCAGATCAAACCCGTGCAAGAAGCCATCGTGCGTATATTGAACGACCACCCGACGCTGTCGTCGCTGTTAGTCGACGAGTGCATTTCTCATTTTGTGCGGTCGACGCATATTGCGCGGGAGGGAAACGTGAGCCAGCTGGTGCCACCACCGCCGCTCCAGTACGAATCGCTGCACCCGTACTACCCCAAGAGCGACTACGTTGTCCACGTGGCAGTCCCACAGCACACGCCGCTGCCCGTCCGAGTTGTGTTTGACAAGCGGTCGAGTTTATTAAACCAGGCGACACTGTCGTTCTATTCGGATGTGGACTGCAAGCACCTGCTCGCGGTGTTCGCAGGGCCAACCAAACACCCGTTTGCCGACACGTGGATCAATGTTCGGTCATTCTGGTTCAAGTTTGTCGGCAACGACGAGTCTGATGGGGCGACGACAGCGTACGGGTTCCGTTTCAAAGTGCAAGTGCTCCCGAGTATGTCGTGGGCGAATGAGCTGGACGTGCTCCACCATCCATCGCTCGACTATGCGTGCTGGCTGCTCGAGTTCCTCCTCTCTGACCCCCTCTTGCCACTGCTCGTTCCATGCCAGATGGCCCTTGTGTACGACGCCCTAGTCCAGTACTTGCAATCTCCCCGGGCCCCACACAAACACAAAGTGATCCACTTATTGCTGCAACTTGTCGTGGTAGCCCAAACCAAGGCACCCAATCTCACTACCATCGACGTCAGTCCTCTCCAGCGCATGGGCGACCTCGCCATCGCCAAGGCACAGGCAGATATAGCCAAAGGCCGGCCGTTCGTGTCGACGCATCTGCTCAAACTGGTTGAATTGGCGGTCGTGGTGGTGTCGTCATCTCGGTGGTTCCAGCACCACGACATGCCGTACATCGCGCCGATTGCGCCACCGCTGGCCGTGCCCACGGAAGCCACCAGTCTGCTTCTGATCATCGCTGAAACGATGCAGCTGGCCCATGTGTTATTGAACGCATCTACCCAGCGCCTATCGCAGGAACTCGTGGTGCTCATCTGGCTAGACATGTACGGCGCCAGTGCCACGCTGGAGCACACGACCGCGGCCAGCGACACGCTGACCTTCCACGGCGCGCACTCGCTGCGCCTCTGCTTTGACCCGCGCTTCGACCAGCGCGCCGCCGTCCACGTCGAAGTAGGCACATCATCGTCCTCATCGACTGGTCTGGTGGAGTTTGTGCCTGTGGAGGTGCTCTCAGACGTGATGGATGTCGTGGGCGACGTTCTCCGGTACACGTTTACTCCCTCGACGGCCCAGCCGACTATGAGTGTGACTGTGACGGCGGTCGGGATGTCGCTTGAGCGGCAGCTGGCGCGGTGTTCGGTCCGCGGCATCGAAGCGATGGCGGCGCAAATGGTGGAGTGGACCCCTGCTATGGACGCGCAGCTGGTCGACTGGGTGAATTTCCACGTCGAGAGTCTGGGCGAAGGCGTCCACGCTGAGCTCCTTCCGCCAGACATCCGGCTGCACCCGACACTCGACGGCTTGCGATGCTCGCTCTTGTTGCACTTGCCGTGGTCCGAGGTACGTTCACCCCCTGCATATCCTGGATATAGTTGTTCGATCGTACGGAATCGTCGTTGTAGTTGCGGTGCTATGAGGACACACGATGCTTTTTACTCATATGTGCTGTGTGTGGTTGGTAGATTCAATTGCGGTATGCGCTACTACGATGCTTCAATACACGGCTAGCGGGGTGCATTTCGCTGTTAAATTTGAAAGATTCAGAGTATTCTTGGACAATTGCCCACCAGGTAGGTAGTACATGTATACCACCTCCGCCATATATATATATATATATATATATATATATACCCAATCCACTGTCATATGTTCTACGTTGACCGATGGGTGGATTGATCACAGCACGGTGTCACACTTTTTTGAATCGACGATTCAGGGAGAATGGGATTTATATACTTGTCTTGTTGTAGCTGCGTCAGTTGAGCCACTGCGTATTCCTGGATCTTAAGCTCAAACTCGTGGAAGCCGCGATCGAAGCCACAGTCGTTTTGCCAGACACAACCGCCTCCAATAACGGTACGGCTCGAATCACGTTGGATCGGCTGCGGGCTCTCGAGTCGCGCGAAGACCGAGAGGTGGAACCGTCTAGCTCCGAGTGCTTCTTCGCCCAAGCGTTCCGCCAGCTGAATGCCGTCGATTCCAAGTCTCTTCGGAGGAAAATAGACAGCAAGGGCCGCCTCTTTAGCGTCAAGTTCCGCGGCGAAGAGGGTGTCGATTGGGGCGGGGTGTACCGCGAAGGCACGAATTCGATGGTCGACGATCTATTTTCGACGCACTTTAACTTGTTCTTGCTATGTCCAAACGGCCAGCACAACACTGGTACGTCTTCTACTACTAGTACTACTAGTACTGCTTTATCTACGTTTGAACCATCGTTGGAAATTATATATATAATTTGGAATATATAGATATATATATATATATATATCATCATCATATGTGATATATACTTATCCTATGGGATATAGTACCATTGAGTCCATGAATATTATAGTATTGAATTGGACTCGTGTGTTCGTAGGGCTGAATCGTGGCATGTACGTGCCCAACAGCAAGTGCACGTCGCCCGTGGCCATCCAAATGTTTGAGTTTGTCGGCAAGTTGCTGGTACGATCGATCGATTGCTTTATGTGTTTTGATATTGACTTTCTTTTACCCAAAATTTGGTGACTTTTGAGCTAATTCTTTGCCAAATCTATCGATCGATTCATTATTGTACTGAATTTTGTGATGTAAAAGAGTTGTCCTGTGGTGATGGGTAGTATCACACTAATTGAATTCATACACTAATTTGACGTATGTGATGGCTTTCTGCAACCTGATTGGCTAAACCCTTCTAATGCCGATTCTTCTGTACATTTGGTTGTGTCGATTCATCGCTCCAGTTTAGCATAAACACAACAATCAATATACAATGTCGATCAATTCGGGATATCCACCTCATTCGTCATGGATTGATGATATATTGTGCTGCTTTTACCTCATAATGTGGCTGACTTTTGTGCAGATTCGCCAAATCTATCGATCGCTTCTATGTTTTTTTTACCGACTTTTGCAACCACTGTACAGTATCACACTAATATCAGTCTCACACTAATATCAGTCTCACACTAAGTCGATGTTGAGTCCGTTGAACAGTGGATCTTGTTTTGATTGGCCACTTGTGTGTTGTGGTTTTTGATTCTTGGTCGATACATCGATTGTCTGTGGATTTGGTTATTCTGCTCATTCGATTGCCATATATCTTGACAATCATATATAACACAATAGGGTATCAGTTTGCGCACCAAGGGCGACTTTCCATTTGCATTTTGCCCGCTCGTGTGGAAGGTCCTGCTTCGACAGCCCGTGGACGCGGCGGATTTGGAGGGCACGGACGCGCTGGTGGTGCAGATGCTGACTGGAATTCGGCACTGCGACCAGGATGGCATCACGACCGACGGGCAGTTTCAGAGCGCGTTCGCCGACCTTGACCTGCGCTTTACAACGTTCGACTCGAACGGGCACTTAGCCGAGCTCGTGCCCGGGGGAGGCCAGAAGCGCGTGACGTTTGCCAACCGCGTCGACTACTGCGACAAGGTTGAACAGTATCGCGTACACGAGTTCGATGTGCAGGTCACCGCCATGCTTCGCGGCCTCTCGACGCTCTTTCCCGTGCGCGTGCTCACGCTGCTCAACTGGCAAGAGATGGAGATGCTCAGCTGCGGCACCCCCAAGATTGACATTGCCCTGTGGAAGCAACACACCCGGTACGACGGGTACACGGACCAGGACGACACCGTTCGGCTCTTCTGGGAGGTAATGGCATCCTTCTCAGACGAACAGCGCTCCGACTTCGTCCGGTTCGCGTGGGGGCGCAGCCGACTGCCCCGGGGCAAGTGGCCCCAGCCGTTCAAACTCACGAAGAAGGCGGGTCGTGACAGCGTCCTCAGCCTCCCCGTCGCCCACACGTGCTTCTTCTCGGTGGAGCTGCCGCCATACACGACCAAGGAACGCATGCACGACATGCTGCTCGCGACCATCAACTTTGGCCTGGGTGGGATCTTGATTGCGTAGGTATTATTATTACTAGTAGCACTAGGAATAGTAGGGGGTGCGTACAGTCGTCTACTCGAGAATATAACCACGAACAGAGCTTTTTCACATGTACTAGTAGTAGTTTCTACATAGTATTTTGTAATGTACTAGCAGGACTAGTGTGCACCAGTAGTTCCTATTCCATGATGGAGCATCACACATACTACGGGCGACATTAACTTAAAGCTATCAATCAGATAAGTACTACTAGTACTACTACTAGTAGTAGTACTAGTCGTACACACACTTGGGTTACGTATTATATAATAGTGTTGGTCAAGTCCCCAGATCAGTAAATAGTAACTATATATCGCATATCATCGTCATGATGATATACACCGTCGTAGTGGCTATGTACCAAAGCTACTCAATGGAACCACATCACATATGTAACACTGTCAACTAGTTACAGTATTCCATTCGAATGGTGTTACACTTTCAATCGGCCTCGATGAGGTTGCTGCGGTTTCCTCGTGAATTTCTTGTCTGCAGACCTCTGCGACAATGTGGCATCAACCGCCGCCTGTCGTTGGACCCACCACAAGCTCGCGACAAGTATGACTGTGAGCGTCGCCAGTTGCAGCAGCATCATCTTGAGCTGATGAAACTTGTTGGTCTCGTCGTTTATGTGCAAAGTGGGGCAAAAGGAAAACTCGGACTTCAATGCCGAAGCCAACACGGGGGCTGGTGGGTCAAGCATCCCCACGCACTCGCACGCGTCGTCCAAGTACCCAAGCGCCGCCAGGACCGCCGCCAGCTGCGTGACCGCGGGCAGATGTCCGTGAATCCAATGCACCGACCGGCGGAAAGCATTCACCGCCGTGGTGACGTTGCCGCGGGCCAAGGCGAAGGTGCCGACGTCCGCCCACGCGTCCGCCACGGCCATGCGCTGCTCAACGCTGAAGTGGCTCACGGTGTACACCATCGGGTCGGGCACATCGTCTTCAAGTGCTTCGCGAACGACGATCTCCAAGTCGACTTCGAGCCCGACCACGTCATGCAGCGCTATGTGGTATGCGGCGTCCACGTGGACCCTGTCGATGGGGAGGCTGGCCAGGGCGTGTTCGCGGAGGTCTGGAGGAATCACGTCAAAGTACGGCCGAAGGATCACGCCTTGGAGGTGGTCCAGGGTCCCGTGGAAGCTGAAGAAGCGGTCGTCTATGTGCTCTTCAAACTCGACTAGCGAGAGCGTTTCGTCGTGCAAGTCGGAAGGGGTGGAGCCAGACTCTAGCGCATCCTCATGGGAATCACCGGTGGATGACGCGTGGTGTTTCTTGACCGCGGGGGGTAGATCCAAACGCTCGATGGAGAGTGGGAACGGATACCGCCGCGGGTCGTCCGCCGCGAACTCTTGCACCAAGTGGACGCAAGGCGGCTGCCACGTACTCGTGTGTCGAGCCTTGCAGTAAAAAAACACATGGCCATCCTGGCGAACGCGTTCCCAGTACTCGAGTGCGCCGTATTCGCCCGTCGCGCAGAACGCGCCGTCGGGGCCATTCGGCTCGTCGGGTAGCGCCTCGGGATCCACAAGTACTACACCGAACGGGTGGACGTTGCGAAGGACGAGGTCTTCATGGAACTGGGACGACGCTGCTAGCTGCTCGAACGACATGGCGTCCAACGTGGGCAGGAACAGTCTGCACAACGTCAGTGCATGGGCCACTGACCGTCGCATTTGGAATTAATTGATCTATCCTTGTTCGACAATTCGATCTTATTTCCATGTTTTCAATTACTATTACCAGGAAGTATTAATACTAGTTATACAGTACGTTTTTTAACTCGCAAGTACTATCGGAACTTCCAACTGGCCAAATCGAAGATTGGAGGTTTTATTATTTAACGTACAATTAATGTAGTTAAACCCAAAAACAAAATACGTTAAATACCGATTTCATGCATTTTATCACTACAGTGGGAGGTTAAAGGTCCCAACTGTCTCCGGATATTATATTCGGATAAGAGACACATACAAAAAGCAAGATACATATCCCAGCGGTCACCCCTATGGCCAAATATCCAAGCGCCCATGTAACAGTGTAAAATACCGCTAGGTTAAATATCTATTTCTGGACCAATTCATCTCCAAATTTGAATATGAGACGTAGAATTTCTTCATTACATTGAGATCTGTCGATTTGACGTAGAATTTCTTCATTACATTGAGATCTGTCGATTCAACGTCTCAATTTGCTGAAATTTTGAGTAAAGAATATGAAATAGAAGACAGAGTTTTTTGTGAAAAGTTGGTACTTATAGATGACGTGCACCATACTCACTTCGAAGTATTACTGCGTATTAATAGTACCGTATGTTTGGGCGAAAAAGCTTCCAGTATTTCATAACATCGCCAATACTACATGTATTTTTTTGAAATTTTGGGACGATTGCGAAATCTCCTTATTAAGGAGATTTCGCAATCGTCGGTTATTTGTTCGCGTTCAGCTCACGCAACGACAACGGCAGCGGCAACGACAGATATTTTATGATTTCGCAACAGCATATTTCAATCAAAATATACGAATAAAATATCCGGATAAAGGATCAGCATGGGCACACGTCCAAATGAACGAACAGCACTGGTGGTGTCAGGCTACTGTACTTACTGTTAAAACAAAGTCACGTCAACGCTAGCGTCGACTGTTGTTACTGCCGTGGAAGCTGTTACAACGTCCTGTTATCCCGGACGTTCGATTTCGCCTGGACACGTTGCGCAACAGCTCTCTGTCCGTCGAACGAGCCCTGTGATGAACCGCCTGTAGGTGCACCTAGCCCCTGCACCAGTTCGTATAACACGCTAACGTGAACCACTAGACAATGCTCTTTAGTCCATATTGATTTTGTAAT